TCTTCTTCTTCTTCCTCTTCTTATTTTTATTTTTCTTCTTCTTCTTCTTCTTTTTCTTCTTCTTCTTCTTCTTCTTATTTTTCTTCTTCTTCTCCTTCTCTTACCTTCTGCGTCTCTCTCAGGCTTCCACCTGGCGTTCGCATCAACCTCCCATGGGGCGAACTCTCTCCGCTTCCACCCTGTTCCCTTCCATGCAGCGGTCTGCTGTCAAGCCAGAAGCTCATACATAGTACCTGGCGCTACTTTGCTGAGGGCGGTTAGTATACGGTCAACCACCTGGAGTGCACATCGAACTTCCTTGGGGCCACCTCTCTATGGCCGGCGGGCTTGCGGAACGCAATCAAATAGGGGATCCCCAAAATGGTTGAAAATCCATCTATAGATGGATGGTTTAGGGATACCCCCATTTCAGGAAACCTCCATATAATCGTGCAAGATGGATTCAATGGGATAAGAATGGAGACTGATGGGAGATCTAACCAACTGGGTCCCAACTATGTCCAAGTTTGGGCGGCTCTGAAAACGGATTATGTTCAGACAAACCCCCGGAAAAACTGCCTGTGTGGCCCAACAAACATCTCGGCCATTGAGATCACAAAAAAAAAAACTTTGGTCCAAAGATGATTTCAGGATTTTACACACTGCTTACGCCCAGCAGTTGGGTTCCAAAATCTTCGCCACTGCGCAAACTGGTCACCGACTGGTCGCCCACTGGCCGCCCTTTTGCCCAAACCGCAGCCACTGTACAGTTTCATGGTGGGCACGCGGCCTCCATGCTAACGGCTTCTGGGGCGCTGTCCCAAATTTTCGCCGAATTTCGGGTCGTGCCCGAATCGGTGTCATCAGTGAATCTCTGCAGGGTCTGATTTTTTCCAGCTATAAACCTCCATGTGACACATGTGATTTTCCAGCCACCTTTGAGGACACCGGAGGGTGTCCAATCGGTCCAAAGGTCTCAACTTCCATCCCGTGTGCGGATGCGAACAAAACCACGGTCCCGGTGGGGCAGGACAACGTCCCGGTTGGACAGCCTCCCACAGGTCTGGCTAGGCACTTCGATGCTGGAGTTGACATAGAAGATTAGACCTGGAGAGGCAGAGGGAGCAGCAATCCACCCGAATTTTTGGGGACTTCCCTAAGTCATGGGGTACCCCAAACCATCCTACAACCCATGGTGACTTGGGGATCCCCTATGACTTATAGGAACCCCTCAATTTCAACCAAAGAAGATGACGCGTAATCTGTGTTAGAAACGAAGTACCTGGCCACAGCCATCCTAAAACGGGAAAAAAACCAAGCATCTCTAAACATCAACCAACAAGGGATAACAAGGGCTTAAATGTCTAAAATCCATTGAAGTCCCATATGATGCTCGTTGCTCTCCGCCAAACTCTGCACCCCTGGTGACCCTGGTGATCCGTCATCTTTCCAGGCCCGAGGGGCACGTCCATTCTGCAACCCGATTCTGTGCGCTCCCCAGGGTGTACTCCTTGGATAATCCAGTCCGTGGTGACCCAGGGCATATGGGAAGCCAACTTGCCATGGTGATTTTGGATATTATATTAGTATATACTATTAGTCGATATTAGTATTTATTATTATTGTTATTATTGTTATTATTGTTATTATTGTTATTATTATTGTTGATATTATTGTATAATATTAGTATATCACAGATTGTAACAGATTATAACAGTATATATTACTCATCCTCCACCTGCCACAGGAATCCAAAGGACCTGCTTGTTTTTGGTGTTTTTGTGCCTCTAGGAGCGCAAGAAAGGCGCTTCGTTTTTGTCATCAGTGTCGTGGGGTTTTGCACCAGATTTTGGGTTGCGATTCCTTTCAACTTGGGGACTGGCTACCCTCTGGTAAACATACAACTAGACGACGGATGGCCCGAGAGCGTAGAGGAGCAGGGTCTTCTCTTGTTAGTATGGAGACGCAATATTAGAAACGATATATGAAAGCTGTGTTATAGGCAGTCGAGAAGAGGAGTATCAAGACAAAATAGTGAGAAGTGCAAGACAATAGTTTGCATCGCAAACACTTTTACACACAGACGCTTTTACACAGACGCTTTTACACAAAGCTTTTACCCACAGAAGCTTTTACACACAAAAGTTTTTACAGACAGAAGCTTTTACATACAGAAGCTTTTACATACAGAAGCTTTTACACACAGACGCTTCTACACAGACACTTTTACACACAGACACGTTTACACACAGACACTTTTACACACAGACCCTTTTACACACAGGAGCTGCTTTTACACACAAACGCTTGTACACACAGAAGCTTTTACACACAATCACGTTTAAACAGATGCAATTTTACATACAATCACTTTTACACACAAACTTCTTTACACAGAAACACTCGTACACACAAACCCGTTTACACACAAAGGCTTGAACACACAGAAGGTTTTACACACAACACTTTTACACAGATGCACTTGTACACACAAACACTTTTACACACAAACATCTTTACACAGAAACGCTCGTACACACAAACCCCTTTTCGTGCGAAAGGGTTACTCCAGCACACGAAAAATCGCAATTTTACCTCAGTTTTTGCCGATCGACCCTCATTTCGTGCGAAAGGGTTGCTCCAGCACAAGTAAAATCGCAATTTTACCTCAGTTTTTGCCGATCGACCTTCATTTCGTGCGAAAGGGTTGCTCCAGGACAAGTAAAATCGCAATTTTACTGCAGTTTTTGCCGATCGACCTTCATTTCGTGCGAAAGGGTTGCTCCAGGACAAGTAAAATCGCAATTTTACTGCAGTTTTTGCCGATCGACCCTCATTTCGTGCGAAAGGGTTGCTCCAGGACAAGTAAAATCGCAATTTTACTGCAGTTTTTGCCGATCGACCCTCATTTCGTGCGAAAGGGTTGCTCCAGGACAAGTAAAATCGCAATTTTACCTCAGTTTTTGCCGATCGACCCTCATTTCGTGCGAAAGTGTTGCTCCAGGACAAGTCAAATCGCAATTTTACCTCAGTTTTTGCCGATCGACCCTCATTTCGTGCGAAAGGGTTGACGTTTCGTGACTCGCCGCCGGCACCACCCTCGGCCTTAAGAGAGAAAGATAAAAAGAATGCGTGAGAGAGAAGGTGAGCAGGTGTGAAGATAAGAAGATGTGAAGATGAGCAGATGTGAAGATGAGCAGATGTGAAGATGAGCAGATGTGAAGATGAGCAGATGTGAAGATGGGAAAGGTGTGAAGATGAGAGAAGATGTGAAGAAGATGAGTCAGATATGAAGATGAGCAGATGTGAAGATGAGCAGATGTGAGAGAAGATGTGAAGATGAGCAGATGTGAAGATGAGCAGATGTGAGAGAAGATGTGAAGATGAGCAGATGTGAAGATGAGAAGATGTGAAAGAAGGTGTGAAGATGAGCAGATGTGAAGATGAGCAGATGTGAAGATGGGAAGGTGTGAAGATGAGCAGATGTGAAGATGAGAGGATGTGAAGATGAGCAGATGTGAAGATGAGAGGATGTGAAGATGAGAGGATGTAAAGATGAAAAGATGTGAAGATGAGAGGATGTGAAGATGAGAGGATGTAAAGATGAAAAGATGTGAAGATGAGAGGATGTAAAGATGAAAAGATGTGAAGATGAGAGGATGTGAAGATGAGATGTGAAGATGAGAGGATGTGAAGATGAGAGGATGTGAAGATGAGAGGATGTGAAGATGAAAAGATGTGAAGATGAGAAGATGTGAAGATGAGAAGATGTGAAGATGGGAAGGTGTGAAGATGTGCAGATGTGAAGATGGGAAGGTGTGAAGATGAGCAGATGTGAAGATGAGAGGATGTGAAGATGAGATGTGAAGATGAGAGGATGTGAAGATGAGAGGATGTAAAGATGAAAAGATGTGAAGATGAGAGGGTGTGAAGATGAGATGTGAAGATGAGAGGATGTGAAGATGAGAGGATGTGAAGATGAGAGGATGTAAAGATGAAAAGATGTGAAGATGAGAGGATGTGAAGATGAGATGTGAAGATGAGAGGATGTGAAGATGAGAGGATTTGAAGATGAGAGGATGTGAAGATGAGCAGATGTGAAGATGATGAGAAGATGTGAAGATGAGAGAATGTGAAGATGAGATGTGAAGATGAGAAGATGTTTTACAGACCCCCACTATTGGAAGAACCCTGCGCTCAGACGCTCTCGGGAAAAAGCTATTGAAAATGGCCATAGAAGCAGTGGATTTAACCATAAATAGCATGGTGGATCTTTCCATAGTTCTTTGTAAACGTTTACCAGAGGGTAGATGATGCTACGCTGAAAGATCTGTTCTTCAACTTTCAAACATCCTTGATGCTAGGCTGTAAGATCTTTTCTTCAGCTTTCTCACATCAATGATGCTACACTCAAAGATCTGAAAAGAAACTCGCTGACCGCCAAGGAAAAGAAAACGGAAGAGAATGCAAGGACAAATTCAGTGACCTTCGCAGTGCTTAAGAACAACACACTCAATCTAATTCTTTCATCGCCTTGCAGTGTTACAGTATATTCTGTAGGCATGAATATTCACAATTTTCAAAACCACGCAAGAGCTGCATATTTGTAAAAACAGATCGAGGGTTCCTTGACTCACAACAGTCCAGCGCTCCTACGGGCGACGTGACCTTCCAAAAATGGGGAGCAAACTCCAATGCTGGGGGGTGAACCGTTCTGATCAGAAAACCCAATCAACAATCCTTTTGGCGCATGGGTTCTTTGGACAAACTCATGCGGAGATGGGTCGAAACTTGCTCTATACAGCAGCTAACTTAAAATGACCCATAGAGTGTACCAAAGTCTTCTCCTTTCGGGGTTGCTCCCAACCCCCAAAATAACCCAGAGGTACACATTGTGCGAACAAAGAGGTACCGTCACATGTGTTACCCCCCACATTTACCTGAAAATAGGTTGAAGCAACCTTGAAGAAATTGCTGAAAAACCCAGGTTATCTGGTGGGAAAATCCAACAATAAACCTACCATGACTGGGGATGGTTTCAATCCTACCCATTTCTGGTGGATTTTGGGGATGGTCTATGGCCTTGGGTAAACCCACATTCGTCAAAGGCCCAGTCTCCAGCGAGAAGAAGGTGTCAGGTTTTGCGAGTCGCACAATCTCATGTTTTTCACCGAAGGTCGCCTGCCTCTCGTGTTTTTTTTGGAGCCAAATTTGGGGATGTACCCGATCAAAACAAGATGAAGCCCACGAACCCGAATGCTCACACGTATGTTAATGGTACAGATGTCAATACACATGGATATGCAGTGACGCACATACCCTACATGTTTCCCTTGTTATCCGTCTGCAGTGTGGAGTGGAAAGTGTAGAGTGTGGAGTAAGGAGTGTGGAGTGTAAAGTGTGGAGTGGGGCGTGTAAAGTGTAGAGTGTGGAGTATGGAGTGTAAAGTGTAGAGTGTGGAGTGTAGAGTGTGGAGTGCGGAGTGTAGAGTGTAGAGTGTGGAGTGAGGAGTGTAAAGTGCAAAGTGTGGAGTGTGGAGTGAGGAGTGTAAAGTGTGGAGTGTGGAGTGAGGAGTGTAAAGTATAAAGTGTGGAGTGTGGAGTGGGGAGTGTACAGTAAAGTGTGGAGTGTGGAATGTGGAATGTAAAGCGCAAAGTGTGGAGTGTAGAGTGTGGAGTGAGGAGTGTAAAGTGTAAAGTGTGGAGTGGAAAGTGTGGAGTGTGAAGTGTGGAGTGTAAAGTAAGGAGTGTGTAGTGTAAAGTGTAGAGTGTGGAGTGTAAAGTATGGAGTGTGGAGTGTAAAGTGTAGAGTGAGGAGTGAGGAGTGGAAAGTGTAGAGTGCAGTGTAAAGTGTGGAGTGTGGAGTGTAGAGTCTCAGGTGAGGAGTGAGGAGTGTAAAGTGCAAAGTGTAAAGTGTGGAGTGTAAAGTGTAGAGTGTGGAGTCTAAAGTGTAAATTGTGGAGTGTGGAGTGTAAAGTGTAGAGTGTGGAGTGCGGAGCTTCCCCCATAGACACGGCGACGCCACAGGAAAACCACAGACTCGAGACGAGACACGTGGGTGCAAAAAAACGAGCATTTCGTGCGAGACTTCCTCCAATTTTGATATTTTCGACACGTTATCAAACAGGTTGGAATGTCACAAAGTGCCACGCCTGCCACGCAAAAGGACATGACAACCTGCTTGGACACATTCGAATAGGAGATGTGCTCCAGCTTCCCCCATAGACACGGCGACGCCACAGGAAAACGGGTGTGAAATAGTTTTAGGATTTTTTTTTGGAGCAGGTTTGGGATTTTTTTTTGGATTTCTTGGCTGGTACCATTTGCCTAGTGTTTGCAACGGTTTGGAACTTGAATTTGTCATTTTGCATGGTATTTGCCACATTTTGGCATGTTCACCTTCCATTTTGCATGGGATTTCCTACATGTGGGCATGTTCACCTTCCATTTTGTATGGTATTTGCCACATTTTGGCATGTTCACCCATTTTGCATGGGATGCTCTACATGTGAGCATGTTCACCCAAATATTTACAGATGCGGAAGCTTGGGATTAGATAAAAAGCGGGTGGGGGGGATTGAGGGAGGGCGCTAGCTATCTATCCAGCTAGCTAGCTATCTAGCTATCTAGCTAGCTATCTATCTAGCAAGCTAGCTATCTATCTAGCAAGCTATCTATCTATCTAGCAAGCTATCTATCTATCTAGCTATCTATCTACCTATCTAGCTAGCTATCTTGCTAGCTATCTATCTACCTATCTAGCTATCTAGCTAACTATCTATCTAGCTATCTAGCTATCTAGCTATCTAGCTTTCTATCTATCTAGCTATCTATCTATCTAGCCATCCAGCTGTCTATCCAGCTATCTAGCTATCGAGCTATCTAGCTAACTATCTATCTAGCTATCTAGCTTTCTATCTATCTAGCTATCTATCTAGCCATCCAGCTGTCTATCCAGCTATCTAGCTATCGAGCTATCTATCTAGCTATCTATCTATCTAGCTAACTATCTACCTATCTATTTAGCTATCTATCTACCTATCTATCTATCTAGGTATCTATCTAGCTACCTCTTTGTCTATCTAGCTAGCTATCTATCTATCTAGCTATCTATCTAGCCATCTATCTATCTAGCTATCTATCTAGCCATCTATCTATCGAGGTATCTAGCTATCTATCTCTCTAGCTATCTATCCATCTAGCTGGCTATCTATCTATCTAGCTATCTATCTACCAAGCTATCTATCAGCTATCTATCTATCTATCTATCTATCTATCTATCTATCTATCTATCTATCTATCTATCTATCTATATCTCTATCTATCTATCTATCTATCTATCTATCTATCTATCTATCTATCTATCTATCTATCTATCTATCTATCTATCTATCTATCTATCTATCTATCTATCTATCTATCTATCTATCTATCTATCTATCTATCTATCTATCTATCTACTAGTATCTATCTATCTACTAGTATCTATCTATCTACTAGTATCTATCTATCTACTAGTATCTATCTATCTACTAGTATCTATCTATCTACTAGTATCTATCTATCTACTAGTATCTATCTATCTATCTATCTATCTATCTATCTATCTATCTATCTATCTATCTATCACATGTAATCCTGTCAGCTTTCCAGAGAAGGTTAGTTCGCAAAAACCAACTAATGTAACTTGGGTTTAAGTTTAAATTAAAAAAAGCGGGAGGGGGGGATTGGGGGGAGGGCGCAGCGCCTCCCCCCGAAGCAGAATGCAAGCACCTCTTCTCACATGTTACGTTGCTAGTTTTCAAGAGAAGGTTGGTCATTGGTCATGTGATACTCAGGGATGTAAATACTGTGCAAAATGCATCTTACATGAAAATCAAGTATTTAAAGCAGGCAAAGCAAAAAAAAAGCAGAGAAGCAAAAAAGCAGAGAAGCAAAGAAACAGGAAACGCACAAAAGCAAAACAGGAGAAAGGCAAAGAAGCAGGAAAAGCAGAAAAGCAGAGAAGCAGGAAAAGCAGGAAAAGCAGAGAAGCAAAGAAACAGGAAGAACAGAAAAGCAAAAAAGCAGAAAAGCAGAGAAGCAGAGAAGCAGGAGAAGCAGAAAAGCAAAAAAGCAGAAAAGCAGAGAAGCAGAGAAGCAGGAGAAGCAGAAAAGCAAAAAAGCAGAAAAGCAGAGAAGCAGGAAAAGCAGGAAAAGCAGGAAAATCAGGAAAAGCAGGAAAGCAGAGAAGCAGGAAAAGCAGGAAAAGCAGCGAAGCAGGAATCCAAAAATAATTCCTAAACCTGATCAAAAAAAAAAATCCTAAAATAATTAGCCCTCCCAGGAAAACCAGCGACTCGAGACAAGACACGTGGGAGCACCAAAACGAGCATTTCGTACGAGACTTCCTCCAATTTTGACATTTTGCAACATGACAAAAGGACAAGTTTTGCAGCTTCCCCCATAGACACGGCGAGGCCACAGGAAAACCAGAGACTGGAGACGAGACAGGTGGGAGCACCAAAACGAGCATTTCGTGCGAGACTTCCTCCAATTTTCACACTTTGTAGCTTCAAAATCGACAATGTCCTACGAGTTTCCTAGGAACCTCTTAATTTTGCTACCTCAAGATCGATGTTTCGTGCGAAGCTTCCGTCAATTTTCAGCACATGTCACAAAAAGCATCAAAAAGCCACGCCTGCCACGGCATTTGCACCTTGTCGCCAATTAACGCAGCCCTGCCAATGCGATATGCAAAAAACACGCAACACGACATGTCTATAAGTGCTGCGCCTGCCATGCAAAATGACGATGGACACGTCCAAAGTGCCACGAAAACTGCAACACATCTTTTGAAAACGTCGCCAAAGTATTGCGCATGCCACACAAAACGACTTTCGACACGTTACAGAACACGTCTGAATGTCACGAAGCGCCACGCCTGCCACGCGAAACGAAGCAACGAGACGTCTGAAACCTCCAAAAATGACCACCGCTGCAGAACTTACCATAGGCACGGCCATATAGCAATCGCGCGAACGGTTGCGAACGGTTGCGAAAGGTTGCGACCACAAACGCAACGTCGAGCGAACACACCCTCAACCCCCAGACCCCCAGAGTGAAACGGGAACCCTTGCTACGCATTCGGGAAAGAACCCGATTGAACTGGTAATCTAACATTGCTATGGAAATTTCAACTGATTTGTGATTTAAAATGATTTACCTATAAGATACCGCGATATTCCATAGCTATGTTAAATTATAAGAGGGTAGCATCACTTGCCAAAACAGAACAGATCGGAAAAACAGAGCTCTGTCCAGTTTTGTTCCTTTCTCGTCTCCCGCCTGTCTGTTGCAGAAAGCTTTTCGCGCGCCAACACTGCATCGCCTTCACGCAAGGTTACGAAGAATTCTGCATCGCTTGGGGCGCCATCCTGCGATCTAAATTGCAGGCCATCATGAGTTCATGTTGGGGACATACCGACGTGGTTCCTCTTGGGGAAATATGGATGACATTTCTGGACATACAGTATAGTGATATAATCATCCTGAAGTAGGTAGAAGATTACTTTTTAAAAAACTGGGAATATCGTTCAAATATCCATATTCTATCACACATATGGATGTTTCGGATTTTCTTGCGGGTGTAAATGTCAGAAATGAGGCCCCATCACCTATCATTCCCAAGAAAAGGAAAAGCACCAACTCTACTCAGCCGTGAACTTAGCAGCTCAGCCATCGACATCTGACAAACACGGATCCTGGGGAAAGAAAGCAAAAAACCCGCAACTGTGATGGCTGCAGATCGAAAACCTAGTGCTGATGTCATAGTTGGATGTGAATCCCTGTCTTTGGAAGTGGAAGAAGAGCCACAATCTCATGAAAACAAGGGTCAGGAGCTGATCCCTCACTATTCTGAAGATGATGCATCTTCGATTTTGCATCTTCCACTATCTTCTCTAAATGTTTAACCAAAATCCCAGTTGCTAAGTAGTTCTGAACCCATATACAACTGGGTACATGTATATATGGCTTCTATTGCCATGCTCATCTTGGGGGGCGCAGTTGAGGCTACAAATGGTAATCATTGCAATTAAACCTCCATAAGTTGGAATATGGGGCCCCTATAACTATAGTGAGATATGTGTATGTATACGTATACTCAATTATACTTATATGTATGTGTATGTGTTATACTGTAAATGTAAATGTATGTGTATGTGTTGTACTGTATATGTATATGTACACGTATATGTACGTGTATGTGTATGTGTTATACTGTAAATGTATATGTATGTGTATATGTATATGTATATGATTAAATAAATATATATACATATATATATATATATCTGTGTATATATGCATATATATCATATTATATATTCGCTTTGTTCACTGGAACTGCACTTCCAAGTATGGGAGACGCTCTGGTAATTCAAAGGAGCTATTAAAATTTGAAATGGTGATTTATAGATGATGATTTACCTATGAAAAAAAAATGGTGAATTTGGAATATGTTCCATGGTTTTGTTAAATTACCAGAGGCTATATCCCAGTTAATGAAAATACAATATGTGTTTATTTATTTATTTACTTAGCTGTTTATTTTACTTTTTATTGTTATTATTATTTATTGTAGATCATAGATCCACAAAAAAATATCCCCATTTCCAGCCATCCCAATCCCAACCCCTCGCCTTCAACGTCAACTCCACCTTCAGCCGGTCAGCTTGGTGGCTCAGCCTCCCACCACGCACCGCCAGCTGCAGATCCTTCGCAGATCCTCCGCAACGCAAGTTCTGCGCCTTCAACAGAATGGGCCCCGGATTTTCCAGGATCGCCTCAAGGAAGTCGGGACTGATAGGTCCCATGGGATAATCCAATCACTGTGGGGTTGAAGGGATTTTTCCAGAATCAGTTGAAGACATGTTCATGAAAGTAACGTCGAAGATTGATGAACATGGGGATTTAACTGATTTAACCATCGACACTTGATAAACAAGGGGATTTAATCGTTCAAACTATATCAAAGTATGCCATCATTACAAACAATCTAACCTAACTCATGGGAAATAAAATTTTGAAAGGAAAAACCATGGGGATGGAAAGGGGCATTATAATGTTGGATCATCATCCAATCATCTGCTTCGTTTATTTTCAAGCTCATGGGTCCACAAAATCTAAACCCCCCAATGAGGTGGGACATCACCTCTTGAACTATCATTTGTTTCTCCACTTAGTTCACTTAGTTCACTACTTAGTTCACTGCACCCGCACCCTAAGAACTGGGTTAAACAACAAAAAAAAAATGTGGTATTCCCAGTTTGGGGTGCAAAGCCACAGTGCTGAAAAATCAGCATGTTGCCAGATGTTTCTGGGTGAAATCCACCTTGTTTCATGGTAAAATGCGGTTCTCGGGTGGTCAAACCTCCCACTTTTCTTCCAATCTGCCATGAGGTGAGTGCCGTCTTCGATGCCAAGAGCAACCAAGGTCTCCTGTAAAACGGGTTTGGAGAAACAAAACATCCAAATTCACGGGGAAAAATAGCTGAGTTTAGCATTAGACAAATATATGTGGTTTGATTTTGGGTAATTGTGTATATATATATAACATATACATACATATCATATCATATCATATTATATTACATTATATTACATTATTTTACATTACATTACATTATATTGACTTATATTATATTATATCATGTTTTATATTAAATTATACCATATTATTTTATATTACACTATATTATATTGTATTATATTGAAAATATTATATTTACTAAACTATATATAATATATTATGTATAAATACAATTGGATATCAATTTCATATATATATATATATTATTATATATATATATTATTATATATATTATATATATATTATCTATATCTATTATATATATTATTTATATATATATATTATATCAAATATTATATATTATATAAATATATATTATAAAAAATAATCTATTTTATATGTATTATATTATAAACAATAATATGTATCTTATCAGGTCAGCCACAAATACACTAAATGGGGTGACCTACAAACTGTTCAGCACTCAGCCCTGTTTTGAACCGACGCTGCATATAGTCAGTATGATGTACATGGAATAAAGGGTTTTACTGCAGGAGTTTTTACACCTCCCTCGGGCGAGCAGAGACTGCGGCGAGACTGAGTAACCAATGGTCGAGCTAACCCTCGCGGGTAGCCGGCTTGTTTTTGTTTTGCTTTTTGAATTTTATGCGCATTTCAAAAGTTTCTCTAAAAAGCTCAAGCCTGAAAACCCACGTCGCAGAGCAGGCAATTTACCATGCCACATCTTGCAAAAGGCTACACATCATACCTAACGGTTCCAGTAAATCCAATGGCCGCCGGCCCCATCTCGGAAATACCACGCCCCTCGCCAGTAGCTCCATTCGCGGCGAGCACCGCAATGATCTCGATTCCAACTCCAAGAAGCATCAGGGCGACCTGAGCTGGATGCCTTCGGTGTCGGTGGCACTTCTGGCTCCAGGAATGGTCTTGCGCCGCTCTTTGGGGTTGGTGCCTCTGGCACGAGAAATGGCGTAGATCCAGATGAGGCTGCCGCTCGCGCGGAGCTGGTCACGGCCGCTGTTGGTGTTCCTGCTGCCTCCTCCTCAGCCTCCCTTTTACGTTCGGCCTGAGGGTTGGCCTTTGCAGCCACACTTTGCTTTTCCTTCCTGGCAATGTTTTCAATCGCCAAAGGCAAGTTGCGTTCATACAACTCATCCAGAAATCTTTGCTTCCCATCAAAAGGAACTTGGACGATTCCGGACCATGTGAGAAGCTGCCTGTAGGGTTTCTTTCGACCAATGTATTCGATATATTCGGCCTCGCTGAAAACATGTCGCCCAAACATGAAGCCCCACACCTTGGTCCACTTTTGCTTGAACCCGAAGGGGAAACCATCCACACCTGCAGGCTGTTATAGATCAACTTCGAGAGACAGTCGGCATGTTCTGCAAAATGGGTTTTTGGGGAAATGGGTGTGTTGATGTTGTGTCTTTGCAGCTTCGGCCAGAAGATCCTCAGTCTTGCGGCTTCGGACGTACTCCTGCTGGGCATCGTCGGCAACTAGCTCATCCAACTGCTCTTCGTCCTCAGCGTCATCCCTCTTGGCTTTGGAGCTCGACTGCGAGGTCGGCATTGCAAACAACTTCTTCAGGTGCTTATCCTTCTGAAATTGCTCTTTGGTATAGACCTTGCAAGTGTCTTCCAAAACCGGGACATGACCTTCGATCTTGAGCTGGACAACTTTATCGGTTTGCCGTTGGCAGGCCAGACGAAGCTGTAGCCTTGATTTACACATCTAGTTCCCACGGAAAGCACTGCTGGGGTGTGATTTAACACGTACGGCTGCACGGGATCCGGAAGTGCAGACAACTTGACGTCTGCCACCTCACTCGCCTCAGTTGATCCATTTGCTGTGACCAATGAGATCGGATGCTCGGCTGCCCTGCAGTTCTTAGCACTGACATCCTTCAGCATACCTTTGGAGACTAAGTCAGACTCGCTACCGGAATCGACAAGCCAACTGACACCGGCCTTTGGCGCGGCGGTTGCAATTGATGGGAATCGACTGACATCTCTAGGGGCTTTGGGACCGCTAACATATCTGCATTCTTTGCACGTGATGTCACATGTGCCCTCATTCCAACAACAAAACCCACAACTTGGTGCCGCTACATCGGAATCATGAAGCTTCACAGTTTCCTGGAACTGGCGTGCTCTCACCTGCGCTTCATGCTGTTCAACTTTGGACGAGACAGGAACGTCATCGGATGTTCTGTACACGTTTGTGAACTCTCTTGGACGATGTCTGACAGGGGCCTGACGACCTATACAGCATTCACCTCGATCACCTGAGGGATCTTCTGGAATCGGACACGCTTCATGCTGATACTTGACCTGTTTCCTTGCAATGCATGCAAACTTGGGGTGAGGATTAATCAGACACGGAGCGGCATTGGACTCCTTTTCCTTCTTCTTCGGTGCTGGTGAATTGGTCCTTTTGGTGTCCTTAGTGGCGGCTGCGGCTTTGTCATCGTGCTTATAGAAGCATCCTTTGACATTTTCTTCCCCTTATCATCCTTGTTACCTTTTGAGGGTGATCGAGTTCTATTTCTCTCGGGGGATTGAGTTCGTGATTTGTCATCCTTTACATGCTTGAATTGACACTTCTTCCCCTTGTCACACTGGCCTTTCTGGAACTTATAGCAAACAAACTTTGTCACCTTTGCCCCTTTCTTGAGACCTACCACGACTCGGAAAAAAATTCTTTCGGTTGGGATTGCCACGACCATCGCCTTTGGCGGGTGCAGCTTTTGTGTCCTTCGGACCACCGGCCTTGTTCTTCTCTGCAATGCGGTTACGGTTCTCCCTCAGCCGTTCTCTGTCGATCAGATTCTTCATGGACTGGTGGAGGAAACCGTAAGACTTCTCATGGGCCTTTTCGGATGCACGATCAAAAACCTCAATGCCGTATTTCAGCAACTGACTGGCACGGATCTGCCTAAGAAGGACAATTATCCCTTAGCACGGCATCTTCAGGAGTTGTAGCCATACCTGCGAGGGTAGCGTCCCACTTATTGACAAACCTTCTCAAGTCCTGGACAGTATCGCCTACTTTCACAACACCCAAAGATCTTCGACTCTGTAAAGGCTACCTGCTTCTTCTGATGTTTTGAAATAGTCTTCAAACATGAGCAGTACGTATCGTCCCCTGACTTGGATACCTTTTCGGGATTGCTGCTCCTTATAGTTCACGATCCTAGTGGCAAGATCTCCGCCGGCTGAGCGCGTGAGCGCTGCTGATAACTTTGTATCCAGCGTGAGAAACTTCCCGGGATCTTGAAGCTTCTTCTCGAGCTGTTCACGGGTGCAAGACTGGTCATACACCTCGTTCAGCCAAGCCCAAGCCCCATCTGGACGATCAGAACAGCGTTTTACTTCAGCCCTTACATGGTTCTTCCAATTCCTGTATGATTCTGGTGCTGGCATGTTATTCAACTTGATGACTTCAGCTTGCTTAGTCTTTGGCTTATTCTTTTCATCCCTTTGGGTTAAAGCTTTCACCAATTCAATAAGATCTGAAGCTCCCATCACCTGTTGTTGTTTGCCTACGCTCTTTGGGGAATCATTTGGGGGAGTCTTGACTGGGTCAGTTGGAGTCATGAAACCTGATAACGTCGGCAAATGAGGCTTGTCGTTTCCGACAGCTGGGTCGAGAGGAGCGCCAACTTTGAGCAGCTCGTCCAAACGTGCCGCCTCTTGTGCCAACACACCAGGCGACTCGATTTCTGGATCGGCTCGTCCTCGGATTTTGTTGCGGATGCATCGGGTCTCTCGGAGTTGCAATATTGAAGGTGGGCACGCCGGCATGGGCGGCTGGCTCAGCTTTCGGGACGGATGCTTTCGGCACGGATGCTGGTTGCGCGGTCAATGGATTGGCTTTGTTGGGGATTTGTTTTTTTGTGGAAACCATGGCTATGATGAAAAATGACATACAGTATAGGGGTTGTAAATTGCAAATGTTCACGTCATGCATTTCTGTGATTTCAAGTTAATTGAAGCAACAAAGGTACCAAAGTCTGAAGGAACAAAAACTCAGCTGTGTTTCAGTGACAAAGATATAGCAGATGGATCCAAGTTGGGGATGTGTTTACCCTCTGGTATATAATCTCCCATTTATAGACGAATTTCACCCATTTATAGATGATTACCCATTGGCAATAGACAATCACCTATTTAGTTCGATGATTTTGACTGTCAGCCATTTTCCCCAGCCTTTGAAGGATCCAGAAGGTAAATCCTGGTAATCTAGGGATCCGTCATGCCATATGCCAGGACCCGCCCTTCGCCCATCCTCTGCATCTTCATAGACCGAAGTATCATGGACCACTTTCACTAAAGTCTTCTCATGCACCTCCCAGCGTTGGCGAATGGCCGCCTGCAGCTGTCCCACGGTGTCGCTCTCGGCGGTCTGGCGGCGTCAAAGGCCCTGCGATTTCTGTCATTGCCTTATGACACCATGAAAAAAAATGTAGTTACAGTAGTTGGTTGGTAAATATCCCGAAATTTATGGCAAAGTATATGAAAGTATGTTAAAGTATTGAAGTATCCGGCCAAGGTTTATTTTGGATGTACAAAGATGGAGACGAATATGAAACAAAGTACGGAGGTCTTAACCTTCGGAGTATAACTCCCAAACAATGGTTGATGGTGACCTGGGTTTGTGCTTGAAAACATGGATTTGCCCAAAGTTTACGGTCACTTTAAGTTTAAAACTGATTAATTTCACCGAAATTCTCAATATTTTCAGACAAACCCACAATTACTTGCGTGTGCATCTCATTCAGATATTAGATATATCATCATCAAAAAATCGTTGTGTTATCTCTCAAATCCTTTCAAAAAAACTAGAAGTAGTATTGTCCAGCTGTTTTCTTTGTGAAATCCGGTGTTTTCTTGGTTGCTCCTTGTTTCCCCACTCCCCAAAATGGCTGATATCTGACAGAGCGAGCGGTGAGAGTTTCAAACGCGGTCCAGCTACAGGCCATGGCGTGTGACTTGGGGAGGTCAATGAAACATTAATAAAACATGAAAATATCACAAGAAGAATCAGTGATTCTTGAAGAGAAAAAAAAACATATCTCAATTGAACATTTTTCCAGCCGATCTCATCTCCAACTGTTGATCTTGTGCCTCAAACTCGACAGCTTCGCTGCCCAAGCTGCTCAGCCATAGCTTCATGGCACTGGCTCGCTGGACTACGGAGCAGTGAGCTGGGTGGCTGCGGTTTATGTCGGACCGTACGGACCCCGACCCGACACCCCGACACCCAAAAAAGTAAGCGACAGCGGCCACCTTTATCAGTTTCGTCGATCTGAGAAGCGTCGTAAACAATCAGGCCATCTTTGGTTGCAGCAACAAATTCCTCGGCTGAACACGATGGAACGGGAAGGTTTCGAGACGTAGCTCTGATGGTTGATGATCACTTTTCTCATTGAAATCACATCGAATAAGCCGTTAATTGAGTAAAAGAAACACTTCAGGACAATCCAAGATAAATTCGACAGAACTAGGGTAACCAAAACTTCAGTGATCATCTATCTATCTATATGTATATATATATATGCACATTCTATAAATATATATATATATACATATACATATACATATTATAGATATATATATATATCATAATGTTCCCCATGAAAAGTGCACTGGGCAGCCAATTCCCGCGCCAAGCATCCATGGCCCTTGGCTACCAGGGTCGGGTGCCCGAACCCAACAAAGGGTCGGGTGCCCGGTGCCCCTTTAAGAGCCCACGGCGACGATCAAGCGACTTCAGCGACTTCATCATCAGCAATCGGCCCCATCAAGCAACCACGAAACCAATCTCAAGTCTCTTACAGAGCAACAATTGGCAATCATGGTTAATCAAAAACCATAATTAACCATATATATTAACCATATATATTGACCATATATATATATATATATTAACCATATATATATATATTAACCATATATATTAACCATTATATAATATTAACATCTATTAACCATCATGCAACAAAAATCCATGAACTGTATACCTCAGCATCGGATTTGTTTATCTTCGACATCCACATTCATTGTCAAATTGTGAATCCACTGGCTGTCATTCCATCGATGATCTCTCTATCAACATGCTACTCTTCATGCTGGAAGGTTTCGTTGCCGGAGGTTATCCTCTGGTAAACTAACATAGCTATTGAAAATGGTAATGTACCCTCTGGTAAACATACAGAAAGCTATTGAAACTGGCCATTTAGAAATAGTGGATTTACCCATTAAAAATAGTGATTTTCCATAGCTATGTAAACGTTTACCAGAGGGTAACAATATAGAGAATTGCCGTGTTTAATAGGTTTCTATCATCGAACAGGCCATGGGCCATGGTTCCGGGGCGCAAACTCTTCAATGAATTAACTAATTAAGGGTATCCCATATAGTGCTATATTCCAGTATATCCTATATATTCCTATATTGTAGTTCCATTGATTATACATCCATTCAACAATGAATAAAAACACAGACGGGCAAAACTCTTTCGATCGCAAAACGCCTTTTCTACACTTCGGACAACGAAACGATCCGAAACTGAAGCAGCATCTTCTGGTGGTTTCAAACTTGCCCTGGGGTAAACTAGCGTGGAAAATGGATGAACATGGCCAATGGAAAGTAGATGATTTACCTATCGAAAATGGATGATTTGATGGTGATTCTCTACATCTATGTTGGTTTACAAAATGGTCATCGGGGATGATCCAGGATAGGATAGGGTGGCCGCTCGCACAGCTGAAACATGTGGATTTGTCTGAAAATGGGGTATACGGTATACCCATAAAATGGTTAAATATGGGAAAATGATGATCAAGCAATGGATTTAGAGATTTTAGAGGTGCCGAATTTTCCAGACATAGGAGCTTGGCAAAGATAAACTCAATTGGTGATGTTTGAAACCAGCCTCGCAGCGCAGTTACTCAGTTCGTTCAGCACAGCCTACCACACAGGACGGCCAGTGCTGACGTGCTCAGGAGTCAGCGGGACCTGATGAGGGATTGGGATAAAAGCTGAAAAGGAGGAGTTCAAAATAGTTCAAATAAAACTAAAAAAAGAGTTCATAAAACAAAAAAAAGAGGAGTTCAATGAGTTGTTATCTCTGAAACAAAAAAAACAGGGACATGTAAAAGACATGAATATCAGCGGTTAGCCGTTTCTTTTTCATTGTATCCCAAGACTATGGCTCTCCCTGTTAAACGGAACCTATCTATTAGGGATGAATTTGGGATTCCACCATAGTTACCCTCTGGTTATTTGACAGTTCGCCATGGAAAGATCCACCATTTTTCATAGGTAAACCATCTATTTCTATGGGCCATCTATACCATGGCTATGTTAAATAACCAGATGGCAAACCCACCTCATATTTTCTGATCCGTAATGACTTTGCGAAGGTGTGGGGAACGAATCGATCCTGGTGGGATCGTTGCAATTGGGACCTGCTTGCACCTGGCTGAGATTGAGATTTCCATGTCGAGAAAAAATCTTGACCTGGAGGATAAGTCACTTAAGTGTTTTCTGCACTTTTTGTACCCTCTGGTAAACTAACATAGCTATGGAAAATCACCATTTTTAATGGGAAAACTCACTATAAATGGCCATTATGTTAAATTACCAGAGGGTATCTGTGCATTGGACCTGACCAGAATCAAAATCTGTGGCCTGGCCGCCTGGCCGGAACCGGCCAGGAAAAGGCCTTTCAGGTCACCCATGACTGGGGCGAAAATTCTCATCCCCGAAATGAGGCTACCTGATAACAAAAACCGACAAAAACCCCAAGTTTTGGGGATTGGTGTCATATTGGGCTTTTCGAACATCATATATATATATATTCATATATATATATATATATTCATATTCATATATATATATAATATTGGTTTAATATATTCATATTGGGCTTTTCGAACAACTTTGCAAACAACCAACAGAGACGGTCATACTTTCCACGTGTCAACCCGCTCGCATCGCCCGTCCATGCCGAGAGGCAAGGAACTAAGCGATCGTAGTGGTTTAAATCTCGGTACCTGAACGAAATCCGGCAAGTTCGATGATTCAATGGATTGGTTTAAGGGAAAACTCACAGGAAAGCCCCATATTTAATGGGAAAATTGTTCCCTTAAACCAATCCATTGAATTTAAAATTGGACCATTCTAGTATTGAAACCCATTAAAAATCATGAAAACCTTGGGGATCCTCGACACCTCCAATATGGGCAGTGGGGTACTCATATGTTGCTGGACCCCATCCATCGTTTTCGGTTGTTTCCCAGGATTGGACCATACTGCACCATCGACAAAAATGATAGCCCCAAAATAGATAGAACATAGAAAAAGTGTTTCCAGGATTATACACATTATATATATAGTGTCTATTTGTTTTGGGGTTGCTTTTCTGTAGTCAGTCAATGAATTCACTGCGAATTGCAAAACATCACCGAAACCGCGATTCACCAAGCTGCTCATGACCTTAGATATCCAGCATTTCTTTTGAAGTTGGCTAGTATATATATATATATCTTTAAATAACACACATAACATATACGTATAATATAATCATTACTATATATCATACATATATAGTAATGAATATATATATATAATATTAAATATTATATATTATAAATAATATAGTAATGAATATATTATATATATATATATATATTATAATATATTATATTATATTGTATTACATCATATTATATTATATTATATTTAAATATTACATAAATTATATATTATATCATATTATATTATATTAAAATATTACATAAATTATATATTATATTATATTATATTATATTATATTATATTTTTAATTATATTAAACAATATTATATTATATTTTATTAAATATAGCATATATTATATATTATGTATTGACTTATTTTATATTATAGTATATCATATTGTATTATATTAAATCATATCATTTTTCATTGTATTACATAAATTAAATTATATCATATCATATGAAATTATATTATATTTTATTTCATTATATATCATATTCCATTATATCATATTATATTATATGATATTAGTTTATATTATATTATATATATCATATCATATTATATTAAATCTTATTATATTATATTTTATTATGTTTTGTTTTATTATATTATATTTTATTAAAGTATATCATATCATATCATACTATATTATATATCATATCATATTATATTGTATCATATCATATTTTATTATATTTTGTTATATATCATATTATATCATATTTTATTATATTCTATTGTCTTATATTACATATATATGTATATATATTCATGGCAAAGAGATTCAAGAAATGAATCCCTTCACTTAGGCTGATCCCCGAAGAAGCCATCCCCGGGAGACCACGGGTCACCAAAGGTCCACGTCGCGTCCCCCGAAAGCGGCGCTGTGGAGCAAGGTTAAACGCCCTGGAGACACCGCAGAAAGTCATGGAAATGATGATGTAATTCCTGGAAAATCATTGAAAATTCATTGAAATGCATGGAAATTCATGGAAATTCATTGAAATTTATGGAAATGCATGGAAACGCTATCGCAGAATCATCAGAAATGATCAGACATGTACCATGAGTTGGTTGCCATGCTTTAGCATGTTTTGCCAGCATCAACGAGGATTTAACATATTTAACGTTATTTGAGTACGAAGACGGTGACAAGAATGGTTCATCAAAGTTCGTTAAGAGCAAATCTTAATCAGCAACAATCACAGGTATCATATCAGAGCTGTTGTCAGTCCTCTATCATCGGTAGGGTCACTCATGGGTTTTCAGACTTTGCGATTCCTCAAAATGACCCTCTGGTAATCCGACATACAGTAGCACCAGAAAATCAGCTGTTCATGTCCATTTAGGGATAATTTTCGAATCAAACATGGAGGCAATCCTGTTGTCTTGCTTCACTACATGAGGACATCCAAGACATCCATCCCTTCTTGACTTCCCGAAGCAGGAGTTGCTGAACTACCCGGCCTGGTCAACATACAAAAAGCGACATGGAAAATGGCCCAGTCGAAATAGTTGATTTACCCATCAAAAATGGTGGAAAACGCCATTCAGTGGCAATTTTCCGGTATCTGGGCTAAAAACACAGCCGCCCGTTGTCCTAGTTTCAAAACACAGCCCGTGGAAATGATTCGATGAACCATGAGATTCGGGCAAAGGCTGCCATGTGTTTGGGCCAACGTATGGTGTACTGCCATGGTTTTTTCCGTCATCCCACATTGGGAATCCGGATAATCCATATATAAAGACTATATTAACCCTCTAGTAAACGTTTACATAACTATGGAAAATCACCATTTTTCATGGGTAAATCCACTATTTCTATGGCCATGTTCAATAGCTTTTTGTATGTTTACCAGGCCGGGTAAATCCCTATCAATGGATTGATGACCATCCCGATATGACCATGGCGTGCCATGGTACGAGTGAATGGATGTAGCCATTCGCCCATGGATGGACCCGGTAATTTCATGTAGCCATGGAAATCACTATCTTTAAAAGCTATAATGTAAACCATCAAAGTAAATAAGATTAAGTAAATAGGCCATGGCTTCGCTATCATTTACAATTTATATCGCAATGTGTTTCCGGTAGAGTCACCAGGGGGATTTGGCTTCACCATCCCCATCTCCATCTCCGGCTCTTGGCTCGCCTCTTTGATCGCCCCAAACACGCACCGTGAGGCGGGCCACCTGCGTCCCACGCAATGATCTCCGAATGGTGGTTTTCAATACATAATCCATGTACGTACATACATACATACATATACATACAGAGAGAGAGAGAGAGTAGGGAGCGTCTCATGTGTATATATATATATGATTGTATAATATGTACATATTATATATATAGTTATATTATATATAGTTACATATATATCTATATAACATTATATAACTATATGTATAATTATATTCATAACTATACATATAACATATTGTATTTGGAAAAAAAACAAGTGTCTAATCTTGGTTTACTGATCTACCAGGCCTTGGCCACAGCATCTAAGAGGCCGCCGCCAGGGTCGCCTGGCTGTTCGAGCGGTTGCCATGGTGATACCCCTAAAAATGACCTGTTTTTTTGGGCTGGCAATCCCTAAAAATGACCTGTTTTTGGGGGAAAAATGATGGGTTTTACATGGTCTTACCAGGAAAAATGGAGCATTTTAGGGCATTCTGCGTTTTACGTTTGACCGAGAAACCACTACTGAACTGCTGTTGTGGGATCCCATTAAAAAAAGCACTGCGAATCACCATCCATACCCAGATTCTATATATTAAATATATGATATCCCACTAGTAATTATCCGATCATTTCATGATGATATATGATGATATATGAAATTCCACGAGATTTCAAGTAACCATATATAGAAATGATTGTGAAAAGCCCTGCCAAACCAGCCTTCCGTTGCTCGAATGAAGGAGAGCCAAAAGGTGCTATCGGAGCCAACCCAGGTGACGTACCTCGAGATGTGCCAAACAAATCAGGAAATCGACCAGGAAAAGCATGGGAATTTTAGTGGGAAAAATGGGGAATCTATGGTGGCTTAAAACTAAGTATATAAGTTGCGTTAAGTTATGTTAAGTTGATTTAAAGATATTTATAGACTAGATGTTTATAGCTTAGATGCAAGTTGGGTTTGTTCATGTAGCCTCAATGGATCCGGGTGGCACATGGTAGAATCTACATTAATAGTCACAAATAATTGTCATTCATCATTTATCGATATTTATCGGGTTTCTTTTGTTGTGTTTTACCCCAGCCAAAAAAAATGAACGCCTTTACATCAAACCGCCGGTGTCTTCCAGCCACATCAAACCGCAGATCTTTTAATCGTCGCTGAAATCACTGGCAGTGGCGGAGTGAGAAAAGACCACTTCTTGTCGAAAGAACTTGATGTGCGTCAAAGTCTGATTGATCTGCTCAATACCTCGCAGATCGCAGCTTTGAGCTGCAAGCTGTGCAAGCTGTGACAGCTGACCTTTATTTTTGAACAAAGATGAACAAAGTTGGGATACATATTCCTTGGCGTGATGAAAAATAGGAAGATAGGATGTTGATAGATTATGACAAATGGCCAACAGCCATGGTTTTTGGATGTGTTTGGCCTTTTAAAAACAACCTGTAAAACAGTACAGGTTTCAACGAGAATTTTTGCTGCTTCAATCCCCTAGTTGCTGATGATTCATCTCCCGTTTTCTGGTTGGTTGAAAGACATGTGGAACCCCCGGAAAAAAATGAGATCAGTGGGGAAATGCATCTGTAATAGGAAGTCTGACAGTAAAGTGGTTTAATTAAGCTCAAACCACTCAAAACACGAAGCAGTGCAGTTTTCTTTGGTTCTTCCCCCAGCTTGATTCGTTATAGCGATACCTCACCATTCTGCGGGGTCTTCTATCCCCATGCAAGCCACTGGGGCCATTCCTGTCCCGCGCCATCTGATGGATATGCCGCATGATCCTCTTCTTGTCCTGGTGCACAGGGCGCCCTTTTCACAGAAAAAATGGCCTGGTCCACTTGGTTTTTGTTCGGAACCTTGGATTCTGACCCATACCTGACCATTCTCCTAGCCCTAGGCGTTTATGACTTTCTTGCAGGACTGAGGTGCAAAAATGGCTATAACCCTCGAAAACTGGGAAATCTAAGGTGGAAATAGTATGAAATAGTGACATCCCTAGAAAACTACCGTGAACTGAAATCCTTACTATGAAGGACACAATAAAGCTACCACTGGGGCATGTTTTTTTGTAAAAGATATGGTGACTTGAGGATGGCCCCCATGGCAGCTTGAATTACCACATTCACCAATGGTGTTTGACATGTTTGGTTTGCACCAAGCCATTTTTCCAATGCCATTCGTTGAATTACCGTGGTATATCAATGGTATATGAAGCAACAAAAATCATCACTTTCCAGATTTTCCAAGCCATTTTCCACCATTTTCCAATGCCATTGAGCCCCACTTCATTCCATCCATCCATCCATTTTCCAAGCCCCACAGGTCCTCAGGGTCCGAAGCCAAGGCTTGTTGGATCTTCACGGGCGCCATGTTGGTATCCGCCGGACCGGTGATCATCAAGGCTCCCGGGGTGGCCACCAGCCCGATCCTAAAGTGGGATGCAGCTCCGGGAGTTGAGGGAAAAAAAAAAGGAGTTGCAGAAGAAATTCTGTTGAATGGGTAACTTCTATGAAAAATTCTGGGAGTTCAATTTTTTTCGGAAAAAGTGTAAGCTTCAACAGGCAACACGACTTGAATGGCTTCATCTGCTACTTTCTTGGATCTTCCAAGAAACTCGTAGGCTTTGAAGAGTTCCCAACAGCACCTTGGAGTTTATCAATGGGCTGGTCTTGGGTCCATTCAACAATCAGAACAGTGCGCTGCAAACGCTTTCGTATGCCATAGCCTTCTTCCAATTAAAAAATTATCTATATAATATGTACATATAATATGTATATATCTATATATATCTATAATAGGTATATATATATTATAATATATCTTCCAATCTGTTTTCCTGCATGCAAACAGTGACCGGTTTCGGGTTGACGGGTCAGGTTTCGAGAAAAACCGAGCGATCCCAGGCGATGCCACGATGTATGCTGACCCCATAAATGTTCAATGGGTAATATATGGTTATTATATGGTTACCCATTAATATACCTATGATGACCCATATTACCCATATATTACCCCATATAACCATATATTACCCATTGAACCATATAATAACCATATATTACCCCATAGATGGTTAATATACTGTTCATAATGGTTAATATATCTGGTTGGTGGTTTCAACCAACCCCTCTGAAAAATGATGGAGTTTGTCAATGGGAAGGATTATTAATCCCATATATGAAATGGAAAATAAAATTCATGTTCCAAACCACCGACCAGGACAGATTTATAGTAAGAAAAAACTCTGCACTAAAATTGGGGCTGCCACTGCACTGCCCATATGTCTGCCACTGAAATCACTGGGATCGGAGGGACAATCTTCAGTCAAGCGGCCAAATCCTCTCAAAGAGATTCACCGCTTGATTGCGTACCTCAACTTGACGGCGGCTTCCCCCCTTCACCCACCGCCGACATGATTGGCTGGTGAAAGGTTGCCAGCGAATGCTTACAACGTGGAGGATTCAACAGGAAAAAGGTGGTGCATTTAACAGTGAAACTGGGGATATGAAGCAAGAAATTGATGGAATTGAACTGGAAGCAGGGGACAGGAAACCAACAAAAACTTGGTCCATTACGGTTGGTCCATTACGGTTGGTCCTTGTGGTTCTTCTTCCCTTACTTGCCAAGAAAATGGATGGTGGACATGTGCGACTGAAATCCTTACCAGCCTTAAATCTTCTAAATTTCTACAGGACGTAAACTCACAGCAACTGCCAGCTGGTTCCAGGGTTCCTTCATCTTTGGGCTCATGATCTCAAAGCGCCCCCCAACACCACGCCACTCAGTGGTTGCATTTGATGGTAAAGGTTGTCCTGTTCAGAATTCACATGGCTAATCTTGGAAATAGTCTGCAAAAAAACAACAAGTTGAGTAGTGCATATACATTTCTGTATAAAGCACATAATGGTACATATACATATGCAGAATATATGATATAGAATGTTTATATATTATATATACATCAAAAGCTATGCAATCGAAGTCATACCCAGTTCATAGGAGACTGGTTGGACAGGCTATATCATATCATATTGCTGAAACTATCTCATTAATGATATAAAATTTAAATAGCCCATATCATGAGATAGTCCCAGTTTCTGACTAACTATCTCATTGCTGAAACTATATCATTAATATTGCTTAAACTATATCATATCATATTGCTAAAACGTTGGGCCAATTGGGCACAATGCCCCTTACGTACCATCATTTCGGTGAGGTCGCGAAACAGTAATTTATCCATATACATATATATATATACTGGTTGGTGGTGCAATAACCATCTTGCAAAATATGAAAGTCAATGGTAAGGATTATCCCATCCCATATATTATGGAAAATAAAATTCATGTTCCAAACCACCAACCTGTAAATATATATATATACATATTGTGCCCATTATGTCCCCATTGTAGCAAACTTTACATCCCCATTGTATCCCACAAATTTGCCACCAGGTGGTTCACCTCCCCATTTCCGATGGTCAAATTCCCATGAAATCATATCTAAACCGCCTATGCTCACCAATCTTCAATCCCCGATCTTTCAGAAAAACATAACACCCATCTATATAGAAATAGACATATGTGATTGATCAATGGCCATTTCAGGAACCAATTGATTGGAGGTGCCGATTCCATATATAAGGCCTATATATATAAGGTCTATGTAAGGGAATATCCCCACAAAATATGGCCAGAAATATGGTACTAACGTACCTCCATTTTAGGATCCTGGAATTCCCATTGAATTGAATCAATCCCCAATCTGGGTTTTGAAACATGAACTCCCCGTAGAATTTCATGTGAATTCCGGCGTCTCACCGAGGCACCACCAGCAAGCGTCCAGCTCGCAACAAGGCGCGTGTGAAAGGTGCAGCCTCCGGATGCTCTCCAACCCCCACCTGGCGGCTATGGGGAGATTTCGTTGGGATTCATCTAACAATCTAACATTCTCCAACAATAGAATAGGATCTATAATCAACCATCGACATCTGATATATAACACATACACAACACAATAAGGTGATTATAGGTTATAGCAACATCAGTATATACACCAAAAAGGTACATGTATATACATCCATTATATTATAATTGTCAATTATATGCACTATAAAAGTTGTAAAAGGTTGTTGCCTAAAAAACACATCGCGGGCAGCCTTGACTTGGCAGCCTTGACTTGGCAGTTGATAGGAAACATCAGGTTTTTGGTACAGTTCTCGGCTTTGTCTGAAAAACAACGGGTAAAACGAGGTTTTTGTGGATGCGAAAAAGGACATATTTATATACAGCTCCTAGATTTGTGAAGATCCCAAAATTCAGATAAATATCTTCAGATATCTTCAGTTCAATCAAATCTCTGACATGATCAAACAAAATTCCACATCTGGAAACGACTCTTACTGGTAACATGGGTTTGACTGAAAATTGGGAACCCCAAATTTCCAAAGGTTGATCATCATATGTCCCATTATGTCATTATGTCCCATTAGAACCCAATTTTCTGACCCATGTGATATCGCAAATCACGTATGATACGGATGTGTCCATGTGGTATACCTCCGAATGGCCATATGAAGACAAATGATGGTTCAGACAAACTCAAATGGCTAGGGCTAGGGTTCCCCTAAAATTTCAGATAAACCCAAATGGCCAGTAACCAATTACTTCCAATTCAAACAGCTCAGCCAAATATTAGCAAATACTACAAAATTACCCCAAATAGTTGTGACTGATCTATCTAGATCTATATATCCTCTAATTGTTGATGGTCAAATCCGATCCTTATTGTTAGGTATCCCCAGTAACAACTGATCATCATCAACAATAATACTGAATCCCATGATAATCTGGTTATACCACCATTTTAGCATTGGGGGGCAGGGAATCTAATCATATCTATATAACTAATACTGATATTCCATTGGCAATATCAATATCCCATTGTTGCTGGTCATGTTTTATCTATACTTACATCCGCTATCTCCTCATTAAATCCTCATTCTATCAGATTAAATCCCTATATATATATACGTATATATATATATACGTATATATATATATTCATTACATAAAGCCATATAAATCCAACAATATTTAGAAAACAACTTAACAATTCATCAACGACAAGAACAAGAACAAGAACAAGAACAAGAAGAAGAACAACAACAACAACTACTACAACTACTACTACTACTACTACTACTCCTGCTACTACTACTACTACTACTACTGCAACTACTACTACTACTACTACAACTACAACTACAACTACTACTACTACTACTACTACCACTACTACTACTACTACTACTACTACTACCTACTACCTACTACCTACTACCTACTACCTACTACCTACTACCTACTACCTACTACCTACTACCTACTACCTACTACCTACTACCTACTACTACAACTACTACTACTACTACAACTACAACTACAACTACAACTACTACAACTACAACTACAACTACAACTACTACTACTACTACTCCTGCTACTACTACTACTACTACTACTACTACTACTGCAACTACTACTACTACTACAACTACAACTACAACTACAACTACTACTACTACTACAACTACTACTACTACTACTACTACTACACTACTACACTACTACACTACTACACTACTACACTACTACTACTACTACTACTACTACTACTACTCCTGCTACTACTACTACTACTACTGCAACTACTACTACTGCAACTACTACTACTACTACAACTACAACTACAACCACAACCACAACCACAACAACAACTACTACTACTACAACTACTACAACTACAACTACAACTACAACCACAACCACAACAACTACTACTACAACTACTACTACAACTACTACTACTACTACAACTACAACAACTACAACTACAACTACAACTACAACCACAACCACAACCACAACAACTACTACTACAACTACTACTACAACTACTACTACTACTACTACAACTACTACAACTACAACTACAACTACAACAACCACAACCACAACAACAACTACTACTACTACTACTACTACAACTACAACTACAACTACAACCACAACCACAACCACAACAACTACTACTACAACTACTACTACAACTACTACTACTACTACACCATCATCAACCCCATGATCTCGCCCCGCCTGTGCCGAGACCTTCGAAGCGTCACGGCTCTGAATCAAGGCCGTGGCGCAGATCCAGAGGTTGGGCTGGAGGCTCCAGTGCCGAAAAGGCGAAGCCTCGATGAATTTTCCACAGCAAAAAGGGGGGGTCCCGGAGGATGGTAAGTTGGTGTACCCGGCCTGGTAAAGATACAAAAAACGATGGAAAATCACCATGCTATTAATGGGAAAATCCACTATATAGCTATTGAAAATGGCCATAGAAATAGTGGATTTTCCCATTAATAGCATGGTGGATCTTTCCATAGCTATGTTAGTTCACCAGAGGGTAATAGGTAGATTGAGATAGGTGAACTATGGCTTTATGGTAGATATTTCTACAGTGAATGAGGATTCGAAATCAGCTTACAACTTGGGGGCATATGACTCAGGTTTCAGCCAGAAAAAACACTGGATTTGTCCCAAAGCGAAAGGACCGTGACGACGTCCCAGCAGCCTCTGCGAAAATGCCCCTGCTTCAGATGAAACTTAGGAAGCAGTAAATAAATAAAAAAACTTAGGAAGCAGTAAATACAAATATATGTAATGCTATACATATTACAGTACATATTATTATATACATTTATATACTGTATATTCTGTAAAATCATGGTCGGGGAATCTTCACTTCAAGAATATCTGGGAATCTTACCATGGTGCCCGGTCCTTAAAATAAACACGTCGTGCCAGCCCAGCAGCGACATACTGGACGAACTCGTCAAAGCCTTCTTGCCATGCGTGGCTCACAAAAACGTTGAGAAGCAACGGCTCCTGGACTTGGACCCGTCATCCCGGTGTCCCATGGGAATCCAAACATCGTGGATAAACCAGGTGCAGATCCTCACCGTTGACCGGGAAGAAAACATCCCATCATCACTTGGTCCATCCGACAACCCGAAACCTGGGAAGATTTCCACGCATTTACCAGAGATGTTCGTGGTTGGCATAAACCACCCATGTGGATGCTTGGAATAGCCAAAAAAATGCGAACTTAACAACTTAACTAAGACTTAACTGGGAAGGTGGATCCTATTGCTGAATACTCACAATCCTATTGAATTGTGGATTTTGCATTGCCATGTTTGATCAGAGGCTGATCATGTCATCCCACTGGTAACGAAGCTGGCCCCAGAAAAACTCCGGGAAGCGTTGCAGACAAACCTGGTTCCAATTCCCGGAGTATCCTAGTTCCAGAAATCATCCATTTGTAGATGGATTTTCCATTGAAGCCATCCAGCGATAAAGGGCGACCTCATTTTTGGAAACCCCAAAAAATAGCCATGGTTTTGAACCCCTCTGGTAGTGAAAAATGATCCCCACATCCTCAATGGCTGGAGTTAAATAAAAAAAACACCATGGCTATTTCCGGTTGAAGCCCCGGAACAACGGAAGATTTTTGGCCATCAACCCCATCAGTAGCGAGTGTAGCTAACATGGCTATGGGCCACAGGCAATGCGACCTCGGCCTGGTTGGTAAGTGCAGTTCATTGTACCGCTTGTCACAGTCCCCAAAAAAATCCAGTTGGTAAAACCTCCTCTATATCTAGATAGATAGATAGATAGTTAGTTAGTTAGATAGATAGATAGAAAGATAGATAGATAGATAGGTAGATTAGATTAGATTAGATTAGATTTAGATTTAGATTAGATTAGATTAGATTTAGATTAGATTAGATTTAGATTTAGATTTAGATTTAGATTTAGATTTAGACTAGATTTAGATTTAGATTTAGATTTAGATTTAGATTTAGATTAGATTAGATTAGATAGATAGATCGTTTTACAGTGTCTATATATATGTATATATATATATATATACAGTCAATCAACAGAAGTATAATTCGAGCGACTCAGCACAGCCTAGCACTGCGCTCCGTCCTCTGCGTTCACAATGTGGGCATAGCATTTCCCATGTTTTTCACATAGAGGTTGAAGGATCCGAGCGTTCCTGGATCAGTCTCAAATCTTGAAGATCATGTGGAGGTTTCGACAAGTCATGGTATGTCATGGTTCCCCAATAGCTGGATAGTTGTTTTTTCTCCTGGAAAGGCATCTATAAATTGTTGATTTAGGGGTGACCCTATGGATTGGAAACTTCCATTTTTTGGTAAAAGAAAGAACTTCAACGTCTCAAAAGATCGGCTGAACTGCAGTTCCAGGATTCACATGGTGCATCGTGATGTTGGGAAATTCGTCCTGGAATTCCTGTCTCGCCTGCAGGTCATGTGTAAGCACTTGGCTGTAGCTATCATTTCCACTTTCGGCTGGGCAAATTGCTGCTTCGGCTGGTGTGATATTGAAAATTTCAGGGGGTTCTTAAACTTGGGCTACACCCCCATGTTATCAAACCTCCATCAAAACACCTGCACTTCGCGGGCACCAACAGACCCTCTTGGTGGTGGATTGTTGAAAGGATACTCCAAAATCCATTGGTTTAACATGACTTTCCCATGTTTTTTTTCCCATAGTTTCCCATATTTCATAGTGGCCAATATGGGAAAATATGGGAAAATATGGGAAAATATGGGAAACTCAACAAACCGTTGCTGCGGAGGGATACTCTATAAAAAATTGGCCACTAGAATCCACATATCGGTTGATAAAAATGGAGGGTTTTATGGTTGGATAAATGTTGGATATCTACTGGATATGAAATTTATGCGCTATTGGTTTAATATTTATTTGTGGATATCTACTTGATAGTGCAGCTTTGCCAAAAAAGAAACAAATTCAAGTTCTCACTAATTCCCACCAAATTCCGTCGATGAACTTCGCATCTTCCATCCAAACTTCCATTTATGTCCAATTCTCAGTGCATTCATCGCTAGTCTTGGACATCCTGCTGAATCGTGGCTAAAAAGATCACCAGGTAGTTTACCCACCCTTACATGATCTTACATGGTAGTTCATGGGACCAAGGACATGTATGAACCATGCATTCAAACCATGGGAACTTTCAAATCCCTGGCAGATTGCTGATGATCCAAGAAATGGTTCGTGATGGCTAAAATAGTACAGAAAACACATGGTTCAAGCTGGTTAAATGACTATTTGTCTTGTTTCACGACGGTCAATCATGGTTTTTTACGATGATTCATGTTGGTTATATTTATATTGCAACATATTGTAACCGTGTTTAAGTGATGGAATTTAACCCTCTGGCTATAGAACTATATACCTGCGACATCCGAAGAACTACAACCAGATCTCCACTTCCAACCATTTGTTATGTAGAGATTCTTCACTACCCCAGGATTTCACTACGGTTCATTTATTCTTTGGATATTGTTTGGGGTTCCAAATTTCTATAGTTTTTTTTCCCTGCCTTCTGGTGCAAATCCAACAGCTGCTGCATGGTGATGGCTGCCCACGCTGGATCCTCCCAGTGGTTTTGGGCGCACTCGCCCGACTCGGTAGAGCTGTCGCTGCCGCTGCCGTCGCTGGCGACGTCGCTGTCGGAGACGAGGTGGCCGTTCTCAGGGGGATGGGTCAACATTTATCTGGTGAAAAATATGAAAGTCAGTTGGGATGATTATTCCCAATATATCAAATATAAAATTCATGTTCCAAACCACCAATATGATACCTAAAGTAGGTACAGTAGCTTCCCTAAAGGTGACTCTATATTACTATATATATATATAACTATTTGTAAATATTACTTTATATTTATTACTATAAAAATATCGAAATATATATATATTACTATAAATATATAGTAATATATATATATAGTATAGTGATATATATATATATATTGCTATATATTTATAGTAATATATATATATATATATCAATATATATATATAGTAATACACATATATATAGTAATATATATATAGTAATATAAATATATTAAAAAATATATATAGTAAAATGACTGCAGTAATAAATATATATAGTAATGTATATATATATATAGTAATATATATAGTAATATATATATAGTAATATATATATTATATATATAGTAATGTATATATATATATAGTAATATATATATAGTAATATAAATATAATCAAAATAGATATAGTAAAATGAATGCAGTAATATATATATATAGTGATATATATATAGTAATATATATATAGTAATATATATATATAATATAAATAGTAATATATGTATAATATAAATAGTAAAATGTATATATACAAATAGGAAAAATATTTACAAATATAGTAATATATACATATGGAAATATATATAGTAATATATCTAGTCATATATATAGTAATATATAAAGTAATAAATATATATATATATACAGAGTAAAATATATATATAGTGATATATATATATATAGAGTAATATATATATATACAAAGATATATATATATATGCATGTATAGTAATGTATAGAGCAATATATATATATAGTAATCTCTATATATATATATAGTAATATGTATTGTAATAAATAAATAAAAAGTAATTTATATACATACAGTAATATAAATATAGTACTATATATATTATATATATAGTAATAGGTATACAGAAATATATGTATAGTAATATATAGATATATATATATGGTAATATCTATTTATATATATATCTATATATATTGTAATATATATAGTAATCTAAATATAGTAATATAAATATAGCAATGTATATAATATTAATAGTAATATACATATATATAAATATATGTATAGTAATAAATACAGTAATATATATATATATAGTAATATAAATAGAAAGTAATATATATATATAGTATTATACATATAAATATAGTAATATATATATATATATATTTAGTAATATAGATATATAGTAATATATATATATATAGCAATATTTATTGTAATATCAATAGTAATACAAATATATAAATATATATAGCAATATTTATTGTAATATCAATAGTAATACAAATATTTATATATATATATTTTTAAAAAAATAGTTTTAGTAATATATATATATTGAAAAATATACACAGTAATATATTTAGTAATTTATTAATATAGAAATATAAATAGAATACACATAGTAAAACATATATATATATAGTAATATATTTAAATAGTAATATAGATAGTAATATATAGAGTAATATTTGTAGTAATATGTAAATAGTAATATGTATCGTATTATATATATATAGAGAAAAAATATCTACATATATATGTATATATGTAGTATTTTTAAAAGTAACATATATAGTAATATAAATAGTAATATATAGTAATATATGTATATAGTAACCTGTATAGTAATATATATATATACATATATGGCGTAACAATATATATATATCTATCTATCTATCTACATCTATCTAGTAATATATATATATATGGCACCCCCCCAAAAAAAACTACCGTTTTAAAACTTTGACTGGTATTTGCAGTTTTTTTGTATATTTGCAAGCATTACCCATGAACTTCAAAATTGTGAAAAAATACATTACCATCGACCAACAGATATTGAACAAAATGAAAAAACGAGAAAAAAAACAAAACCAAAGAACCAACAATATTCTGAGACTGTTTGGGGAGGACCCCATCCAGAAAACTAGAAAACAAAAAAAATGGAAAACCCCCCCAAAAAAAAACACACACAATTTTCCAAAGGTCCTGGACCTAGGGGGTCCTCCACAAAGATTCTCAAAATAGTGTTATGTTTGGTTTTCTAGTTTTCTGGATGGGGTCCTCCCCAAAGAGTCTCAAAATATTTTTTTGGTTGTTCCATGGTTTTTTGTTGTTTTGTTTTTTTCGTTTTTTCATGTTGTTCAATATTTGTTGGTCGATGGTAGTGTCCACCTTTTGCTTTGTTTTTTTCCCAAGAGCGTCTGAGCGCAGGGTTCTTCTAATAGTGGGGGTCTGTGAAACATCTTCTCATCTTCACATCCTCACATCTTCACATCTTCTCATCTTCACATCTTCTCATCCTCACATCCTCACATCTTCACATCCTCACATCTTCACATCTTCTCATCTTCACATCTGCTCATCTTCACATCTTCACATCCTCACATCTTCACATCCTCACAGCTTCTCATCTTCACATATCTTCACATCTTCTCATCTTCACATCCTCACATCTTCACATCTGTTCATCTTCACATTTCTTCTCCTCACATCCTCACATCTTCACATCTTCTCATCTTCACATCCTCACATCTTGCCCTCTTGCTCTCTTGCCCTCTTGCTCTCTTGCCCTCTTGCTCTCTTGTCCTCTTGCTCTCTCCTTCTTTTCTATTTCTCTCTTGAAGGCGCGGGGCAGTGCCAACGAGACGGCACGAAACGCAACCCTTTCGCACGAAATGACGTTCCATCGCCAAAAACTGCGGTAAAATTGCGATTTCTCGCGTCCGGGCGCAACCTTTTCGCACGAAATGAGGTTCGATCGCCAAAAACTGCGGTAAAATTGTGAGATATCATAATACATAATATAATATAATATAATATAATAAAATATAATATAATATAATATATAATTATATTTATATATTCATGTCACTTTATGTGTAACTATATGTAACTGTTATATTAGTGTTATATTGTCATGTTAACTTCCCTAAAGGGGTCATCGCTTTTGTCATCAGTGACCTGGGCGGCTCCGCGTTTCCATTGGCTGCGGCAACTGGCGACAATATACGCCAAGAGAAGCACCACCGGTGGTACAATGCCCACCGCGAATGTGGCCGCTTTGTGCCAACCGCCTGAGCTTTCTGGTGACTGTTTCATTTTGTTGGTTGGTTTGTAAAAAAACAAACATAAAAAGTTCGTAGATTTTTATGGATTCCTCCATTCAGGCCATAGTTAAATTAGTTAAGCTGACCTGTACATGGCCTTTTCCCAAAACCCTGGTTTACACACTCATGCTTTGGCTTAAACTCAAAAGAGTGGTTTACACAAAAACCATGTTTTGCGTAAAAGCCATAGTTTACACAAAACGCTTGTTTTACAAAGACCGTGTTATGCACAAAAATCATCTTTTACATAAAAACTATGTTCTTCCTAAGCCTATGCAAGTGCTGTTTCCAGGATAGCTCTTTCCATGGTGGCCGACGGAACACACCGAAGGCGGTTTCTTTACGGGCTACCTGGGTTCCAGATGGTTCCAGGCAGAGCTCTGCAGCTATAAACCATCGCATCTGGAAGTCATCAATTTTCTGGATGATTCAACAGATATAAACCATCATTTAAAATGTGAGGCCAGGGCATGGTCGAGAATTGTCCGACTTGGCAAGATATGGCAAGATGTCCATGGGAACCCAACTTTGTGCTAGCAACTGGGACTTGGAAAAATGATGATTTCAAACCAAGAACCTCTTCTATATATATTTTTCTTGCACATGGTCATCTATAATGTTTTACTTTAAAAAAAAATGGCAAAAATGCTGCGGTTATGATGAACTTCAGGAATGATGTTTTGTTATCGGTTAAACAATATTATGTTGTTACATGGTTTTTTACCAACCATCCAACCATGCTTTATCACGCTTTTTATATGTTTTTATGATGTTTTCTGGCTGCTTCCAACCCGTCGCCCGTCGGACCCGTGTGCCAAAGCACGGTCGATCATCTCGTATTGGTCCCAACAGTCCATCCCCAGATGAAACGGTTGACATTTCTGCGAGAGCAGCTGGCAGTAGCCTTTTCCCTTCCTGGTGCCATGAACAGAAATTGGCCAAGGGAACCAATCCTTTAAATGGAATATAATAATAATATAATAATAATAATAATAATAATAATATATATATGATATATATATACATGATATATATATATATATACATGATATATATATATATATGATGAATAGTAATAATGCTTACTAATAATCCATAATTCTCAATAACAATAGCAATATGCAACCATATGATTTGGATCTGTCCAAAGGTGCCCGGGTACCCAAATGGCTATAGAAACGGGGAACACGAGGATCATGGGATGGATTTGGATGGATTTGGAGGTTCCGAAGTCTCAACCCCACATGTCATCCCTGGATGAATACCCTCTGGTAATTTAACATAGCTATTGAAGATGGCCCATTTATAGTTGATTTACCTATAACAAATGGTGATTTTCCATAGTTATGTTAGTTTACCAGAGGGTAAATCCCGGCTCACTGACTGATTCTTTTTAGGGATTGCCTCTCGACTGAAGGGTTTTCACATCAGAAAAATCTCAGTGATGAGAATTTCAGTCACATGCGATCATCTACCTCAACAGGACGGAACATGAAGACTGGCTAACTGGCTAACTGGGCATTTGGGCCGGTCCCAGCTGAGACGCAGAATGCCAATGTCAACGGATGGCACCGTTCGTTGTGTTCCGAGAAACTGGTCGGTCCACATGGGTCGACAGCTGGCGTTGGTCACGATCTCAAAGGCCTCACTGTCTCCAGAAATCTGGAGAAAGCATGGATTCATGTGGGCCGATAAAAAAAAACTACCATGACTGGGGAGGGTTTATATAGCCAGAAAAAAATCATAAAAATGGTGATGACTTGGGGATGGTTTAGTGGTTTATTATTGGTTTACCATACTCATGGTGATTTGGTGATGACTTGGGGATGGTTTAGTGGTTTATTATTGGTTTACCATACTCATGGTGATTTGATGAGGCTTTAATGTGGTTTCAATGGAATATGATATAATAGGATCTTATTTGACCAGCTCTATATATATATATAATATGTATATAGATACTGGATACATTGCAATGCTTCAGCAATCTCAACTGTTGTGCTTTTTGACTTGGGTTTTTGCTACGTCAATCCAAGTCCCATCATGCCAGTGACGTCTGTGAAACTATCCGGGACCCACGGTTTACTCAGAAGACTATGAAATAGCCTATGAAAAACCAATGTAGCTATGACAAGCAAATTGTTTTAGGAAGTGTATCTGCAGATAATGGGTGTTAGTGTTTAACTGTTACTATCATATGTGTCGAGTTCACAGAAAAATTGCAGAAACCCCATGATCATACCAAAAAATATGGGTGTGTCCTGTAAAAATTATCTCTTAGACAAATCATGGGAATATATAATCTCGTGTGTGAAATGCAGATTTACCAACATAGCGGGTAAGCATGCCACTGTATAGATAGTCAATCACCAAAATCTGCCTCTGGCTGAGCTACATCATATAAAGTTTCCCCGTACATGTGGAAAATGAGTAGCATTGTGGTTTTCCTAGAACCCCTAGATAATCTATTCATGTATACGTAGCATGTTAATACATTTGAAGGCCAATTTGCGGACAAATGCACAAGCAGATGTATATAAATAGAGCATTTTGGTGGCTCAGCCACAATCTGGGAAAGATGCATGGCCCACATAATAATATGAATATGATATAATATGCATGTGGATTCTTCATTATCATATGGACAATACGTTCTGATTTTTCATGGACAGGACCATGATAGGTTTACCCACCATGCGCCTGACAAATTATAGGGAACCCCGGGAACTCCCTAAATCCAGTGGCTTGTTGGCATGTCCCTATTAAAGTTGCCATCACTGGGGGTATTCGTTTCCACATGTTCAGACCCACCCATCATCCATGTGAGTATTATTGGTTTTGTATCTCGCTATATCCCACTAAACTCCATTTGAGCAGTGTTCAAAAAAAATGTTGTCCCTTTATACTGGTTGGTTGATAGGAGTTCCCCTAATGGATTTTGATATTATGTGATATTCCCCGATATACTATAGTATAATCCCCGAACTGATCATCAACCAACCGGGGTTTCGCAGCCACTGCTCATTGAAATCCCTATTGTGGTCAAATCCACCCAGCAAGCCAACAACTCAGGACTTGTAATCCAGCTTCTGCCCGGCTACAACTGTGCACCCCCTATTGAAATAGCCTAAAAGGCATGATCCAAGTGAAAATGTTTGGTTCCCCTACTGATAATTTTGGTGATCTTCTTCAGCTACATACTTGACATTTCGAATGAATGGTCTTGACCGTATGAATTTACCATCAGTAAGTCTAGATTTTGGGAACCTAAGATATCCTCCGCAAATGAGACCATCGGCGTATTTCGCTCATCCCCAGGGATCCTTGCTGGTGGTGATTTTGCAGCCATGGAGCTACCAGTGATCACCAGCTGTATATATCTGGATACACTATCAAAGGAAGGTCCCTCAAAAACTGATCCTGGAATAGTGGTCAATTTCTAACGAAAAAATCTTGATCCCACTCTACCATTCCCAATTTTATGATCAAAAATGGAGAAATCATCCCATTCCTTCCGGATTCCCCCCGGATTCCCATCCATTCCCTACCTTTGGCACCAGTCCCTCCACAAACGTCCCATAACTGAAGTTCTTGCCCGAGAGGCCACACAGTGCTTGGTGGCATGACACACGGCCGCACAGTTTCCCACGTCCTTTTCATAGGAAAATCCCAGCCTTGACTCCTGGGATCCAAGGGATCAACGGTCAACCCGGTCAACCCGGTCAACCCGGCCTGGTAAACATACAAAAAACCATTGAAAATGGCCTGGTCGAAATTTCGAAAGAGTGGATTTACCATGATTTACCCAGCTATAAAATGGTGATTTTCCATAGTTATGTTAAATTACCAGAGGGTATAAAAGGTAGAGCAATCGAATTTTGGGAGGATCTTACTTTCCTATCCTGAAAATTTTGTGTCAGCATGTGTCATCATAGTCACCTGCTGTGCTGCTTGTTGGTTACGCTGGTTACATGGAGATCACTTCCGCACCTTCCAGTTGCTACAGCCGGCATTGCGACGCTGCAGCTGGAATCCTCCCACGCTTTCCGCGCGGTTGAAGCTGAGGGGAAAACAAGAATCGTGTTTTTAAATCAATCCAAAGATAGGGGAATTCTAGATAATGAATTGATGATGATTCAACTTTAAACCATATGCAACCATATTTTGTTAATCTGACTGAATTGCAATGATTCACGCACCTAAAAATAGCTGAAACGTTGGGCCATTTGGGAATGGTTCCCCTTACTAAGCATCGTTCCAGTGACGGTCATGCTGCCGTTGTCCACAATATCAATCGGGAAGATGATGAGTGTTACCATCAGACAAACCCGAAAATATTTTGTCGATGTGAATGCTTGTGCCATTTTGGAGGTCATGACATACTGAACGTGAACAAATATAAAACATGTTCCAGCAGTGCTTTGTGGGCAGCTCTGGGCCGTTTCACCAAATTGCAGGCAGGTACAAAGCCAATAAGAGGGATTTATGAACGGGTATGCCGTGGTCAACAACAACAAAGTAAACCAAATAATACACCCTGCCTTAATAGTTTTGGACTGTGATTTTCTCCACTATAGACTGTAGACCCTAAATAGGATCACATTGATTTGGTCTACTGAACACAGTTGATAATGTCAAACCTCCGATTGATCAAGCTTGGCTTTTTCACTTTCGTGGGATCACCCCCAAACAGTGAATTCATCTGCTACTCAAATGGTACCCAAAAATGTACCCCTCCTCAACATTCTCAAAAATCATGGCAAATCAAAGTACGATTTTTTCCCCAATCCTCCTGCAATTACCATTGAGCAGTGTGAAAAAAATCCCTCTATGAAATTCCATTTAATCCTGGTTGGTTTAGAATGTGATTTTTCCTATTGGATCATAAAAAAAAATCCCAACAAATTGCGCAGCCACTGCTCCCCGAACTAATCAACCAACCAGGCTTTAGCACTGCGAAAAATTCTCGTGGTCCATAGGATTCCCATCGGCCCATCTCCTGGCCCCGTACGCACCACGGGCATGGGCAACGGCGGCCTTTGGCCCAGAAAAATGGTCACCTGCCACGTTTGAAGCATTGGAATTCGCAGCCGGGGGTCGCATACTTTACATACATCCCACAACCATTGGAAGGGAAAATCTATGGAAAAGTGATGGATTTGAATATATGATATGATCTTATTCTATCATATTCTATCCAATCATTGTGTGAGTTTCAAAGAAAATCGCCATTTCCATGAAAACAAAGGTTGCAAATCAATGGATCATGACCATGATCCTACAAAAAAGGACCATGGTGACATAATTCGAAACCAACTCTGATCATTTTTTTGGGATTTCACCGGTCGCACCATGTCTCACCCTTTGGAGAAAACCAAATCCCTGAGGAACAAGAAATTTTTGTATCTGTTTGCGCTGTCCTGTAGATCTCTAAAATCAAGTTTTGAATCCAGCGCCCCAGTGCCGTCAGTCACCATCCGCACAGCGAAGACATTGTCGCTGTCCAGCCACAGCCTTGTGAACGCGTCAGGATCAATGACTCACTGACACGTTTCACATTGGTAGAGGCAAGATACCCCAAAACTATGAACTTCTCTGGACAAGCTCCGTGGACTCAGATTCGGGAAGCAAACAGCCCTCCAGTTGGCAAAATTGGGAGATATAAATGGAAAACCCATGGTTTCCCTATACATGATTGTCTCTGTCTCTGGCGTATCAACCGTTCCACAAATGGGGGTCAATGATTCTGAGTTCTACCCATGAAAATTTCCAATGGAGGTACCTCAACATGGATGGTCTATAATGGAAAATCCATCTATAAATGGATGATTTAGGGGTACCCATTTTAAGAAACCTCCATATGAGCGTTTTAATTTGTAAATTGGGTGACCGCAATGAATCAAAGGACTTCATGGGTGATTGGTGTTTTTTGGTGGTTATCTGCGAAATTTTTTATTGCTGTAGAGGACGTTTGTTTGTATATATATATATAATGATACAATAAAACATGTTTTTCTCGATCATTTTTGGGCACAAGGAATCATAATTTAATAAACCCCTGGAACCACGGCCGCAATAGCCTCATCAGTTCGTGAACGGAAAAACTTCACTTAGTTCGATGATTTTCCCAACGATTAAAACAAATTGAACCGGCAAGAGACCTCAAACAGTGTGCGGGGTAGGAAGTCAATGTACCAGACATTATCGCAACTGCAGCAGGAGCTTGTTTTGGCACAAGAAGCAACGCTATGTCTATTCAGCAGGACCTCCTACAGAACCCCACGCCAGGACATTTAAGAGAATTTCGAAAGATCGTCAAAGAAGGACCTTCTATGTAGAGGATCTTAGAAGATCTCCATACAAGAACTTCTTATGAGCATCCCAGAAAAACTCTCATGCAAGCACCAACACAGAGCATTTGCAAGATTGTGGTGCAAGGAATTGCTGAAGAGGATTTCAACAGGATCTCCAAAAGATCTTCTCACAAGGACCTGTGCCAGATCATGCTAAGGCCTCTGACAGCAATTCACTAGGATCTCCACAAGATTCAAGATCTTCTCGCAAGGACCCGTACAAGAGCATGCACTGCAAGGAGTCAAGGTGGTATTCGGAAACTGGCGAGTGGTATTCGGAAACTAGGATTCGGAAACTGGAAAGTGGTATTCGGAAACTGGAAAGTGGTATTCGGAAACTAGACAGTGGTATTCGGAAACTGGGAAGTGGTATTCGGAAACTGGGAAGTGGTATATTCGGAAACTGGGATTCGGAAACTGGGATTCGGAAACTGGGAGTGGTATTCGGAAAGTGGGAGTTGTATTCGGAAACTGATATAATCGGAAACTGGAACCCTGGAATTGAAAACCCCCGGGATACGACCACAGAACGCTGGCTTGATTTTTTCCATCCACGGAGCTCTTCAACGGTCATCCCACTTCTTGAGCAAGGAAAGGATTATAGCAGCGAGCAGCTGCGCCAAGCCACGCGTGCGCAGGCCGAAACACACATTGTGCAAGTCGGCCTCACGGACCTCTTTACGAGTAAAATTGCCACATTCTATGGCTGCTGAGATTTGCTCACTGAAGCTTCCCTCTGTGAGCTTCCGGCCCAATTATTCAATATATTGGCCAGAGGGGGTGGCAGTTTTGCTCCCGTTGAGATCTTATTCAATATATTGGCCAGAGGGGGTGGCAGTTTTGATCCCTCATGAAGATCAGTTGAGGTTAAGATCCTATTCAATAGATTGGTCACAGAGGCTGGCAGTTTTGATCCCTGATGAAGATAAGTTCAAGTTAAGACCCTATTCAATTCATTAGCCAGAGGGGGTGGCAGTTTTGATCACTCATGAAGATAAGTTTAAGTTCAAATTAAGATCCTATTAAATAAATTGGCCAGAGGGGGGTGGCAGCTTGATCCCTCATGAAGATGAGTTGAAGTTAAGATCCTATTCAATAAATTGGCCAGAGGGGGTGGCAGTTTAGATCGCTCATCAAGATAAGCTGTATTTAAATCATTTTACATTTATTGTCTAGAGGAGGTGGCAGTTTTGATCCCCCATGAAAATAAGTTCAAGTTAAGATTCTATTCAATATATTGGCCAGAGAGGGTGGCAGCTTTGATACCTCATAAAGATAAGTTCAAGATAAGATCCAATTCAATATATTGGCCAGAGGAGGTGGCAGTTTTGATCCCTCATGAAGAACAATTTAAGTTTCTATGCCCATCAATGTATTGCTTAGAGGGGGTGGCTGTTTGGATTCATCATTAAGATCAGTTGAGTTATATGGGCTTTCAATACATTGGCCGCAGGGAATGGATTGGATTCCTCGGCAAGATAGGTGGAAACTCATATTGAGAAATAGTTTTCGGTCCTTTGAAGTGGGGGATTTCTTTTCTTACTACAATAACTGAAACGAAACCAAAGTTCTGGGCACAAGCGTCTCTTGCGGAGTTCCCGCCAGCGTCCAGCCGCATTTCGTCATGGCTGCAGCAGGTGTGCATCGGACCAACCCTAAGGGTCGGAAGCTTTCGCTTGCCGTCCTGATACTCCAAGCGCGGAAAGTAGTTCACCATGGTTCTGGTCTCGCCATCCAAAGCACCGAGCAGGTGGTTCTTCCAGCCGCCGTCCTTGGCTGTGCGGTTCATGCCGCTATAGAGCCCTCGGTTCATCTCCGTGAAGACATGGGCGGTGTGCAAGGTCTCCACAGGCAAGCGGACTGCATGCGACCCCAGCCGCACTTTTCCATTTCGTCCAGGATGAAGATGTGATATGGGAAACTAAATTCCCACGGGGCCATCGTCTCTTGAACAACCTTGGGAACTTGCACTGACGTTGCATGTCAATGAGCGCCTGGTGCTTCTCCTTCCAGAAGAGCGGCGAAAAGGTCTCGCCCTTGAGCACCAAGCGCAAGCTGAGCCCCTACACTGCGTTCTTGCCACCGCCGATGCGAGACCACATGCAGAGATCATAGACGAATTGCAGCAGCTCAAAGTCCTGGCTGTAGCCAATCACCGGGCTGAGCACCTTGTGCATGAAGCTGCGCTTGACACTGTGCCGCTCACCGGGGGTGTCCTGGTCAGGGTCATCGTTCAGGACAGCTCGGTCACCACCTTGGCGCTGGAGCCGTCTGACATCCGTGGCTCGCTCCAGGGTCTCCGTCATCTCGCTACACCAATAGAGCGATGGCAGAGCACATTCGATGCCCACCTCCTCCAGAAATTGCAAGGGCCGGCGACGTTGGAGCGCATCGGCATCAGGATGCTTCCTGAGAAATTTGTCGTGCTTCTTGATGAAGTCCCGGTAGCTGCTCTCCCACTCTTCCAGGCCCTTCTTCTTCATGAGGCAGCCACAGGCCCCCCGGACCTTCTCACGCTTGCGCCGCGAGCGGACCTGACAGCGACAGCTCGCTGGTCGACGAAGAAAAGTTATTATTTTAGAGGTTTTCCCATAGCAACGTAATTCGGTTCTTCCTTATATAGAGGTTTGAACAAAAATGTTGGAGGTATAAAATCAAAAGCGCATACGCCTGGCCTGAGCGATCTTCTCCGTCACCGACTGCTCGCACCAGCTTCCGACGAAAATAGTTTCTGTACCGACGAAAATAGTTTCTGAATCCGACGAATAGTTTCTGAATCCGACGAAAATATAGTTTCTGAATCCGACGAAAATAGTGTCTGAATCCAACGAAAAGATCGAGTTTCTGAATCCGACAAAAAATAGTTTCTGAATCCCACGAATAGTTTCCGAATCCGACGAAAATAGTCTCCGAATCCGACGAGCAGTTTTTATAGTTTTTCTGAATCCGACAAAAATAGTTTCTGAATCCGATGAAAAATAGTTTCTGAATCCGACGTGTAGTTTCTGCAATCCGACGAAACTAGTTTCTGAATCGGACGAAAATAGTTTCTGAATCCGACGGTTATAGTTTCTGAATCCCACGAAGCAGTTTCTGAATCCGACGAAATAGCTTCTGAATCCGACGAAATAATAGCGTCTGAATCCGACGAAATAGTTTCTGAATCCGACGTATAGTGCCTGAATCCGACGAACTAGTTTCCCAATCCGACGAGTGACGAGCAGTTTCTGAATCCCTAGTTTCTGAATCCGGCGGACCGGCGGAGCTTCTGAATCCGTCTTTGTCCCACTGCAATAGAGATCTCTATAAGATCTTTTGACCACCATCTTCATCCCAGGAACCCTGAGAGAATGCCACAAAATCGTCATAAAAGGACCTGCTGCTGCTGGAGAAGATCTTGCAAGGTCTTGAGACAAGAACCTCCCAAGATCATCCTAGAAGAGCTTTCATACAAGCACCTCTACATGGCATCTACCTCAAAATGTCCGGGATGTCCCACGCCTGAACACGAAATGGACACATAGCACCGAGCACACGAGAGCTTCGGATGAAACGAGCAAAACGGGACGCTCACTTTATGCGAGCCTGCGCAGTCGAAATGCACATGAACATCTCACAAAGGAACCTTTGCGAGAATTTATTGCAAAAATGCCGCGGCCCAGATGGAGCACCCTGATCTAACCCCGGCCTTTAACCCTTACCGTAAGAAGACCTCAGTGTGGACACACTGTTTGGGGAAAAACCTCCAAGTCCGAATGGGGATTTCCGCCCGGCGGCGGAACACAACACTGCGGTAGGTAGGTCACGTTGGAACCACCGCTGGGGACCACGACCTGGCATGGCTGGGCGGAGGGCCTGCTGCCAAGTTAGGGGGCAACTGAGGAAGGTACCTATGAGGAACCTAGCATAATTGAATGGAATCAATGGGATTTTGAAGGGATTTCATGGGATTTGAAGTGGATGATGTGAGGTGCGTTACGTACGTAACGTAGGTAAGTAGGTAGGTGGGTGGGTAGGTGGGTAGGTAGCTAGGTAGGTAGCTAGGTAGGTAGCTAGGTAGGTAGCTTGTAAGGCTGCATGCATGCACGTATATAACCAACCACAATTATATATATATATATGTGTGTGTGTCTGAAAATGGAGGACCTTCCAAATCCCCTGGAATGTTCAGAGTGGATCAAGTGTTTTGGTCTCTCCCAACAATCTGGCACCTGTTTGGTCAAGCGTGGGTCAGTTTCATGGAAGAATGTGGAAGTTTGAGAACAAGGAGTGGGCGAGCCCAGATATTGATTGCAGCGTTTAGTTGACACTCTCAAGTCAGAAATTTGGAGGTCCCGAGCAAGTGTGATAGGTGCAACTTTTCTGATTATTTCGAAGCACCACGGAAAACAAATTTGAACCATTGTCGGCGCAGTCATTCCGTTGGTTCCGGGATCGCGTGGAAACGAACCAATGACGAAAGAGAGGGCAAACCAACACCAATTTCCAGAAAGCCAGCTGGACCAAACATTGCCCGAAAGGTTGATGCCATTATCGTTCCAGTAGTAAAGTAGATCCAACTCTTGACCATGGCACATATCCAAATTCCTAAGCATGTAATACTGGTTGGTTAAGAGCGAGGTTCGCAGCTCATGGATTATGATAGCCCCTGGTAATTTAACAGTTTGCTGTGGTCGATTTGTCTATTAAAGAAGTTGATTGTCCATGGCAAACTGTTAGTTTACCAGAGGGTAATCCTCAATATATTGGATAGTACAATCTCTCAACAACTGTCATCATAAACCAACAGGGGTTGGCACTTGACCGTGGCACATACCTCCCCATGAAATATCCGCATAGTATCCCACTTGTACCATTATTTGATGGTTGCCATTCTGGATGGCGACCCTTCTCCTTGGTAAAAACCTATGAAGTCCCGTGATTGCCATGGTTCGATCTGCTTCATGGATTCCATCCCCCTTCTTGATGCTTCAAACCCCAAAAAGGTCATGGTTATATAAATCTGAATTTTCTGGTGCTTTAATCCCAATTCTTCAAAAGACATTCCCATGTTGACGAACTCCCCATCCCAATGATATGCCCAATTATTTGCTGATATTGATGAAACATATCCCCATGGTTCATAAAATATCCCCATGTTTCATCCCCAGCTGATGCTGCGGATGGAAGGAATCATGCACTAGTTGGCAAGTATTGGTAACATACTTCAACAGTATAAACAATGGGATTCTCATGGGATAAACTGCCCATCTACCAACTGCTGCAGGATTTCGCAACCGTCCGCAATAGCAACGGGAACCCCCCATCAAACATGGAGGTTTAGCTCGCGGGGAAAACCATAGAACAAAATGGTTGTTTTTCCAGCCACGGAGCTGATTACCGTGGGCTACATCACGAGGTGAGGAGGTTCATCATCATCAACCAAGGTATACCTTTAATAGCTGGTATGGGGGGTTCCCTAAAGTAGCGGTACCTCAAACCATCAAAGTCATTGGACCATTGTAGTATTGAAACCCATGGTTTTGGGGTACTCCCATGACTTCGGAAACCTCCATATGATCATATTATGGGGGTTGCCTAAGTCATGGGGGTACCCCCAAATCATCCATTTTCATGAAAATTTCCATTGCAAACCACCCGTTGCGACCTCCATGACTTCGGAAACATCCATATCATCATCCCATCAGTTGATGAAATCCCCAACATATTGATAAATATTGGATGAAACATATCCCCCAGGTCCCGAGTGATCTCATCCTCCCATCCTCACCTCCAATTGGCTCATCCGCCAGGCATCCGTCCCCAGTGTCCGGAGCTGTACCAGCTGCAGGGTGGGGTCCACCTGCACCATCCTGGGGCCGCCGTGGGCTACTTGGGGGAGAAGGGAAATGGGACGAAAAAAAGGGGTGAAGCCAGGGAAAAATATGGAACAATCTAGAAGAAACTAGAATAATCTGGAAAAATCTAGAAAAGATTGGGAAAATTATGGAAAATTAGACTAAGCTGCAAATCTCTTGGATAAACTGGTAAAATTCAAGATAAGATGTGGGAACATTACACAAATCTGGAAGAAGATTGGATGCAATTCGGTTAATCGAAGGAAGTTTTGAAGTCAAACTCCCGACAATATGGACAGATGAAAAAGCAGAGGTGGGAAGAGTCAGAGAAGAGAAGATAAGAAGAAAGAAGACCAGAGAAGAGAATGAGTCAGAAGAAACAAGATCAAGGTGCGCGAAAAGGTAGAAAAGTCGTGGAAGCACTGCGTTTTTTTTTCCAATGTTTGGGGCTCCGGAGGCTAGAAAAGTAGGCTTGCTAAAGCGGAGGGAGCGGAGCCATCTGGTCAGATGAGAGATGAAAAATTGCACGCCGTTGTGGCATGAGGCAGGTTTCAAAGTCAAAATGCGAAAAACACCTCATGCTCGGAACACTTTTGGAAGTTGAGATATTCAAAAAGTGCGCGGCGCTGTGGGGCTAAGCACATTTCGAAATCAAAATGCGAAAGATACACCATGCTCGGTGGGAGAACCATTGGAAGTTGAGATCCCCTTGACCTAAGTGAGTCCTTGGCACTGCTTTGGCCTTTGCTTCTGCCTGATGCGCAGCTTCTTCTTGAGCCGCTGCTACTCTTCTCCTGTAGTTGGCCACTCTCCTCTTATAGTCGGATCCTGGAGCTGGGTCTGCTCCTTGATGTCCTTCGACTGTCTCTTGTTCTTCAGGGCAGCCCCGACTCTTGGAACTTTCTGCGGTCGGCCTGTACTTGGCCGCACATCCACCCGTTCCCTTTCCGGAGCCACCTGTCTCTCCAGCATCCGCTGGTAATTCTGCAGTCGCACCTGCTGACGAGCTGGAGGCTCCTTCTGGTCCAAACGACCTCACCAACGCTTGGAAGCGTGGTGGCAGCTCTCTTATCTCTTGACCGCAGGGCAGTATTCAGCTGCCTTCTGAGGACAGACTCGATACCTTCGGTTTAATCACTCTTCAACTTTCCCTTTTCCTTTCTCCTGTCCTTTGGCTCCTGGCTCCTTTCCTTTCCTGTTCGGCTCTTTTCCTTTAGCTCCCCTTTCGATTCCTCAACTCGTTTCACCTCAGAATAGGTGTATTCAAGGCCTTCCTCGGTGGAAGCTTTCGGAAATGGGGGATATCTTGGTGCTATCCCTAGTACGTGGACTCCTTCTGGTCCTTCTGCAGCTCCTCCTTGGCTGCTATCTATCTCCTACGGCGTCTAGCGCGCCGATCTCTGCAGCTCTTCTCGGCCTCTCCTTGGCCGCTTCCCGGTTCTAGGGTTCCCGGTTCCCTTTCTTCTCTGCCTGCCCCTACGATGGGCTCCACAGGCACGGGTTCGTCACCTGTTTCAGTCCCGTAGTCTGCGACTTCCTCTTCCTCTTCCTCCTCTTCGGTAGCCAGGTCCCTTTCACCTCTGTCAGCCGCTACCATGCAAAACTATTAACTTACAAACCTGGGCGCTACGGAGCGCACTTTTCCTTGAGCCAAAAGTAGCAGAGTCGAAGGGCAATGCATTGGGCTCACCTGGGCTGTACATATGGTGATATATTTCCGCATTATGTGTGTATGTAAATATTATGTACATATACAGAAGTAGAGCAATGTATTTGCAAGTATGCAAGCTTGGATCTAAACAAAACAACAGGGGGGATGGAGGGGGGTGTTTGCAACGTTTTGGAGCACTTTGAATGGTATTTGCTGATGTCGGAGCTAGAACATTGTAATCTGCTGGTTTCATTCCTTCCTTGCTTCATTCTTTCTTTCCTTCCTTCCTTCCTTCCTTCCCTCCTTCCTTCCTTCCTTCCAGGAATATTTGTTTGATCCCAACAAAAATTTTGTTTGATGCCAATAATATGCGTTTGATCCTATGTAACAATATGTTGTTTGATCTAGATGCCAAAAGATGGTTAGCTGGAATTGTAGGTGAAGAAATGGATGAATATGGGCTTCAGTGAAGGTTCAAGCAGTTGGAACTAGGTCGAAGAACCCAGTTGTGCAGTTTTTCATGGGACTTTCATGGGTGAAATTCACGCGATGAAATCCTCCAGGAAAGCGGAGGGCACCTCTTTGAGGGCTGGAAAATCCCCATGAAAAAAGACGGTTTTCGCTGGGAAAATCGTCGAAATCAGCTGGGATTCTTCAGCCATGGCAATGAGGACACCAAAGGGTAACTCGTGACACTCGTTGCCGAGATGTGCTAAGCTTTCACCCATTAAAAAGCGGTCAGATGCGGTCAGTAACCCACGACTGATAAGCTAAAATTCAACTGGTATCTGGCCCATCGCATTCATGTTTCACACTTCTGCTTGTGAGTCGAAAAGAGCAGGGTGATTTACTGCAAAATGACTAGTCATGGTTACCAAGGACATCCAAGTGACTAGAGTGTTGTCCACTCCCCTTGGTGCGATTATTCCCAAGCGAAGATGATCCAAGTCGAAGATGTCGAATAATTGCTTAAATCGACATCTTTGCCTGGTTACATTCCAACTTGTTGTTGAATCCGCTCCAGGTTCTACGAGGTGAGGGCCCTAAACCTATAGCTCAGTTGACTTAGTGCACTTTCAGGAGGGCCTTGGTTCCATTATGTTCCATTGGTTCACCAAGCATCATCTCGCTCCATGTGCCTGCGATTTCAAGTCCAATGTTGTACCAGTGATACTTTGCCCTCTGGCCAAATCGAACCTGAGGACATCAGGAGGGGTCATCCATAACTAAGGACATCCAAAAGTGCCCTCTGGTAATGACTAACAGTTTGCTATTGAAAATGACCATAGAAATAATGGATTTTTCCAATTGAACATGGTGATGTTCCATAGTTATGTGGCTGTTTACCAGAGGGTAATCATAAGATATCATAAGTATATATGAGTCACAATGAAGGAAAAACCCATGAAATGTGTTGAATTGTTTTTGATAGACGTTCCACTTGAATCCCAGGTTCTTCTCTATTGGGTTGATCATCCCTGACTCGCTTCTGAATCCAAATGGTGGCCGGGATCTATTCATTCAACCCCAAACAACTGCTGACCGTGCTAATGTATAAACAATGCACCTTACTGTGTGAGGTCACCGGAGATTGAGTTGGGTCATTTCATCCCACGCCCCGCTTCACTATCTTCACTCAAGTAATGTGAAGTATTGTTTTTCAACTTAGGAGGTACACTAAATTGCCTGTGTCCTGGATTTTTGTTGAATCCTCAGTGCCTCATACCGTACCAGTGGTCCGGCACCAGCTGAGTCCACCCTGTTTCTCCCAGTCCTATGATCCCTTCGATCATTGGGCCCGCTCAATTTCTTGATGATTCAACGAAAGGATCCCAACATTCCAGTCTTTCTTGGTTAAACCCCGATTCTTGGTCACTTCATCACCATCTATGACTAGATGACCCATGTTACCAATCACTGCTGGTAAATTCTCCGCATGGAGCTGTTGATACGACCCACAATTCCATTTCCCAAATGTCGAATTTCCGTGCTGCTTTTTGCTCCCCCAATTTATGGGTGAAATCCATTCCCAAACTTGAAGAACCCCTTCAGGTTTGTTGATATCCTGCTATGTTTGTGGCTTAAACCCCGAAGTATTCCACTTGGGGTTGTCCAAAAATTGTAACTTACCAAGAAAATCCCACTTTGTTGTTCCACCTTTCTATATTCGATGTGTGGTTATTATATATGTGTTTCCCAGTGCTCCCCTGTTTCCCAGTGCTCCCCAGATCTTTGTAGTTAGCAAGGTTAATTACAACCCCTTATTGTTGATACTTAAACCCAAGGGTTTCCAGATGTTCCCCTCATTTGCCCAGATTTCCCAGATTTCCCTCACATTTTTCCCAGACTTTTCCCATGATAATAACCCACTTCCCATGATATATAATAATTAACCATCAGAAAAAAATGGTTGACTTTTCCCACTTCCGCATTTTCGCCACCAGAACTTGAATCGTCGAAAAGGTGTTCGCCCCCAGCGCTCGCGACGTCCGCACCCTCAGCAGCGCCGGCACGGAGCCAGCGACGCGAAAAATGCCGGTGGCCGTGGCCAAGGCCAGGAACGCGGGCGTTGCGAAGGGTGCCATGGCATTCCAAAATGGCCATGGAAAATCGGGGGATGGAGCCCCCGCTGGTGGGTCAAATCGGCTGTTTTTGTGAAAACGATGTTTTTCTCGTTTTTGTTCAGTTTTGGATGACATCAAGGTGGGTTTACGGACAGAGAGTGGATTTAGGAAGGTCTGGGTATATCTGGTGTTTTTGAAGGGGAAACCGCACTTGGACATGAAACCATCCTGGGTTGGCTTTCCTCCCACTTGTTTGTGTAGGCGGGAAAGTTGGGCTGGGTGGCAATTGGCCCTAAAACACAATCCCAATGATGAAAAAATTGCCAAACTTATTGGATTTCCTTGACAATTCCTATCATCACGAAGTAGTAGCTCCAACTGACTCCCCATTTCACAGAGAATAAAGGGAATATGAATAGCCCTGGCTCCTTAGCTCATGGAAACGAGTTTTATATCAACCACCAACCGGAATTGAAAAAGGAGACTGGCTGCGGTTGCTTTGAAAAGCTCCAAGTCCTGAGATTTGTATAGTTCAAACCGAACTACCCTCCAAGGTCATCAAGGTCATCAAAGATGGGAAATACCCCATGAAAAATCAAAGGTTTCGTTGGGAAAATCATCGAGGTATATCCCACTGCTGAAGAATCACCAGCTGGGTAAATCTGACATGTATACCCTCTGGCAAACTAAGAGTTTGCTATGGAAACCGGATCTGGTAAATCATCTAGAAACTAGAACCAACTAGAATCTTAGAAACTCTCAATGGCCCATGTTAATCCATATTTTCGCTACGGAAAAAAGCTCCCCACGTCTCCGTTTACCAAGTTGACCATGCCATCCCGAAAAATCCATCGGGACACAGGGCCACGTGCTGTTTACACAGCTCACGTAGCATCTGCGCAGCCTCCATGCTCCGCTGCTGCACCACTTGCAGCTCGCGTTCTTGTGCCTTACCTTGGAAAAGCGGAACCAGGGACGGTTGAAGAGAGAAAATCTGTGAACATGTGGTTCAAAAAGCGGCAAGAAACTGGTTCTAAACTTTGTAAACGAAGAACAATTGGGATTCCAACATATTCTAAACATTGATGGGGTCAGCATTGATGGGTTCTAAAACCATCCAAGTTTAAGCTCTGAAATCCACAAAACCAGGAGTAAACATTGTCTCATCGTTCAGCTTCAAGAGGCGAGCAAAATCCATCCAATATGGTCCCACAGCCATCATATCCTTGAGATATCATTTTTCTGGGCGTAAAAATGCGGTACATACCCCATTTTCTGACATGCCCAAATATCATAGTGTTGGTTATATCTCCAGCTTATGGCATTTTTGTTGCTTAAATCAAACAAAAGAAGGTTTAGCCCCATCATCACAGTTGAGAAATGTCGCACTGTCCTCCACCACGTCACATTGTGCCAGAAGCTGCAAAGTGAAGAGCTTTGAAGTGGAAGTTTGCTTCACCTGGAGTTTTTGTGGTGCTGAAATCGTGGTCCAACAAAAAATGGCGGGTTCCAACGAGTTCCATGGTTCCACCAACCAAAACGAGATAGAATCTACAGATCTAAAGGTGATCTGGAGGTTCAACATACTTAACCATATACCAAATATCATGTGTAGATGATGTTCCTTTTTTTGACTCAAAGAAAAAAAACATTTCCAAGTTCACATCCGTCCATCGTTTCCGATGAACCCCGGGAATCGTGTAAGTTGGGTGAATATAAGGGTTTTTGTCTGAAAATGTAGGAAATTAGGGAAGAAAAAAACTAAATCCAATGCTTTAAAACTCAAGTTCCCTGTTGAAATGGCCCTTTTTTGGGGGTATACACCATTTTCAGGCCCATTTCGGAAATTTTCTTCAGATCAATTTTCCAGACGGTTTTCTGCACCATGATCAGTTGAATCAGTAAGTGGTGGTCCCATGGGTCCCATGAGCCACTGAAAAGGTGATTTCGCATCAAAACCAGGGATGTTTCACAAAAAAAGACTTGGGGACTTGGGGATGTAACCAAACTACTGGTAAAATGTTGGGCATGCCGCATGATCACGACAGAGACTAGTTGCGATCTATAGCATCATTGTGTATCATTGTTTCAACGGGAGGAATCGCCGAAAACGTCTTAAAATCTAAATGGATGGAACCGGCAAAAATCATCTGGGCGACATGACGACTAACCAACGCCAGTGACTACGTATCACGCGCCGCATCTGCCCAAATTAGTCCCTTTATCATTGTGTGGGAAAATTATAACGGCCTGTCCAAAAAAGATGGTACTGCCAAAATCCGATGGTTTAGTTTAGTTCAACAACAACTCATGTTCCATTTTTTGAATGGGTCAAGTTCGTGAAGGGGACCCCATTTCTTTGCAAACCTATATTTTGCCGATGGCCGATTTTCGGTTGTATGCCCAGGTTCTACCTGAAACCATGCCCGCGGACATTTCCCCACGTCTTGTCCCCGCCTTCATTTTCAGCTCCTGGTAAAAGCTTGTGATGGCCTCACACCCGCTTCCGAAGAGTGCCATGTTTGCCATCGAAAAGGCTGCCATGGTATGAAAAATTGATAAAAATGGTTGATTTAGCCAACAAAACTGAAGATAGAAATGGAGATATGACATGGTGTGACCAACAATATTGTCGAAGGAAATTTAGAAACCAAACTTGCGACGTATGAGCAGATGCAGCAACAGTGGTGAGAAGAATCAGAGAAAAGAAAGAGTCAGAAGAGAAAGAGTCAGAAGAAAGAAGATCAATGCGCGCTAAAAGTTAAGGGGTCAGCACGAAACACGGTGTTTTTTGAATGTTTTTGTGGCTCCGGATGGTGGAAAAATAGCCTCGCTAAAGCGGCGGGTGAGGCGTCGGAGCACTTTTGGAAGTTGAGTTGTTGAAAAAGTGCACGGCGTTGTGGAGCGGAGCACATTTCGAAGTCTAAATGCTAGAGACACCACACATTCTGACCACTTTTGGAAGTTGAGATGTCGAAAAAGTGCAAGCTGTTGTGGCGCGAAGCACATTCACAAGTCAAAAGTGTTAAAAACTGACGGTTTCAGACCACTTTTTGAAGTTAAGATATGGTTATGCGTGGCAGGCGCAATGGGCACAACATGCAGGTTTCGTAGCAATTGCAAAAATGATGGCAGGTGTGGGACGTTGAAGAGGATCTGCAAAGATGCATTTCAGGTGGCATGCGTTGTACAAGAGACATCTCCATCAGAGATGTCAGGAAGTCAGATGGTGATTTCCTGAGAGGGGTTTCATTTTGGAGATCTTAAGGTTTCCTACGATGATTTTGCGTGACAGGTGCAGCACTTCGTATGACCTGGCGTCACTTTTTGGTGGCAAGCGCAGTAATTTAGACAGATGAGGTGGAAGAATCCTAAAACGCCATGGCACGAGGCCGTCAGCTCCGCACTCAACTTGCCATTTTTGAAGGCTCGCATAACTGCTTCATTTTTGACAGTGTCAAAGTCAAAACTTGAAGAAGTCTCGCAGCATGCATCATTCGAGTAGGTGTCGCAGAATTGCTTTGTTTTGGAGCTGTGAACTTTCAGTTTTTGAAGGAAGTCTCGCATAGTTGCTTCCTGTGCGATAGAAAGATAGATAGCTAGATAGGTCGATAGACAGACATATAGACAGTCAGATTGTCAGATAGTCAGATAGACAGGTAGTCAGATAGATAGATGGATTAGATTTGATTTGAAATAGAATTAGAATAGAATAGATTAGATAGATAGATCGATATATAGATAGACAGATAGATAGAGAGAGAGAGAGAAAGATTGATGGATGGATAGATAGACAGGTAGATAGATAGATCGATCGGTCCATGGATAGAAAGATACAGAGATAGACAGATAGAAAGATAGGTAGGTCGAAAGATTGATAGATAGACAGATATATGGATAGATAGCTAGATCGATCGATCGATCGATCCATAGATAGATAGATAGGTAGATAGGTAGATAGATAGATAGATGGATAGATTAGATTAGATTAGACTAGATTTGATTTGATTTGATTTGATTTTGATTTTGAATTTGATTAGATTAGATTAGATAGATAGATAGGTAGATAGATAGATAGATCGATCGATAGATAGGTAGATCGATAGATAGGTAGATCGATAGATAGGTAGATAGATAGATAGATAGATTAGATAGATTAGATAGATTAGATAGATTAGATAGATTAGATAGATTAGATAGACTAGATAGATTAGATAGATTAGATAGATTAGATAGATTAGATAGATTAGATAGATAGGATAGATAGGATAGATAGGATAGGATAGGATAGGATAGGATAGGATAGGATAGGATAGGATAGGATAGAAAGATTAGTTAGTTAGTTAGTTAGTTAGTTAGTTAGCTAGTTAGTTAGTCAGTTAGATAGTTAGTTGGTTAGATAGATAGATAGATGGATAGATAGATAGATAGATAGATCGATAGATAGATAGATAGATGGATAGATAGATAGATTCGATAGATAGATAGAGAGGGACTAACAGAACGAGACACAGAGAGAGAGAGAGACTCACAACCTCGAGCACCTTTCGATCCATCAGTGTGTTCGCTTTGCCATCCATGCATCACAACAACTCTCCTCTCCATGGTCTTTGGTCATCCCGGTCATCCCTCTGAACAACAACGAATTTCTCTCATACAATGGGCGCTTTCTTTAGCAAAACCCCAATGGGAACATTTGGGATGACCATAATAAGCTTCTATGATTCTATGACAAATAAGCCATGTGACTCGACATGGCTAAAGCACATGTGGATGCTTGAGAAGAAATGTGGAGTTGATGTATCTCAATGACAGAAAAACACTTTTCCAAGATGGACATAAGTTGACAGAGACCAACAAAGACTAAGACGATCTCATCTTGGGAAAGGCTCATCAATCAAGAGTGGCATCCAAGTAACAAGAATTCTGGATCGTGGTTCCAACCCATCCCAAAAAACGAGTGAATTATTTGCTAAATGCTAAGGCCAATGATGAAGGAACACCACTTCTCCACCCCTTCAGTAC